TACGTATTTCATACAGTTTGATACAAACTAATGATGTTATATGTAGGTTGGTAGGTACCTACCTAGGAACATAATCTGACTTGATGAGCTCGCTATATACCTACTTACAAACAAGGGTTAATTAACAGATTCAGTATTTCCGTCATTATTATTATTGCTTGTTTTGTTTCTCAATGTCTCAGAGGTAGTTACCTACCTTCCTTACCTACTACCCACTCTTACAAAATACCTAAAAGCTTAAAAACATTAGCGTTAGGTACCTACAAAATATTATCTGAGAAATGTTATCCGTTGCAAAAATCTGAATTACTTAATAACAAAAAGAGTACAAAAGTTTTAATTTCAGTAGAGTCATAAAACGGACAGATTTTATTAATCTCAATAACCCTCCTTCGCTCTGCGCAGTTGGGTAAAAACAGGAATAAATTGTGAGAGAATCTTTGCAAAACAATAGTTGGAAATGGTGTACGCGAGAAAAAGCCGGATGCAAATGCCATTCATATTAATTAGCAAAGCGAGACGGGGCTTTTACGAAATTAGACCGTGATTTCACTGAAGATTTATTGTTGTGTTTGAAATGGTTTTCGGAGCAAAGGTAGCCATTTAGACGCAAGCAAATTGGTGTTGTCAAAGCGGGTTTTAAATTGAATTGAGTGAAGTCGCTTGTTTGCTTTGAAGGGTGAGTCACGAAAAAAGGTGGAAAGCTGCTAATTTATTGGCTTCGTACGAACGTGACGTATGGAAAAGTGGGAGCTTGATGCGAATGATTGATGACCGGCGGGCAACTCACGGCGACTGCGGGACACGTGGACAAGCCGCATAGCGATTAGCTCGTAAACATTAGTAGGTAGATCCTGTAGTACAATAGTTGACTGTAGATGTAGGTAGGTACCTACCTACCTAGTAGATAGATACGTAGGTAGGCGATGCTATTAGTTTTAAGTACCTACCTTAGTCCCATAGTCCCATCTCGCTTGTCTGCGAGCGACCCGGCAATACGGTAATTTCCAACTAGTCAAATTCAATACTTTTATCCAAACGTCAAAAACGATACTTGTACTTATGAAAAACTGCGTTATGACGTCATCTTTTTTTTTGCGTCATATAGCTTAGGTACTTATTTCTTAATAAGTAGCTAAAAAAATCTAAAACTTAGTGTATCGATCGATCGAAGAATAAAAGTATACTTAGTTATTTTTCAGTATTTTATTGTATTGAAACGTCGATATTAATTTATTTTTTACCTAGGAAACTACCCAATTTAGAACTATAGTTTGATTCTCGCAATGCCGAAACCCGATTTGGACAGAGAACTGCGTCATTATCTAAGAGTTTTTTTTTCAGGTTTTTGTAGCGCAACTAATGGCACGCGTGACTTTCTTTTCATTCATTTCTGCAGTAAGTTTACAGTTTATTTTAGTTGATGCCTAAGTTAATGAACACCAGTTTACCATTACAACTTATTTTGCTGTTCTGTTTTTCTGTACTGGTTTTCGATGTCTACTAGCACATTTAAACTGAAATACTGAACGTTCGTTTTGTTTTGATACAATAAAAATGTATTTTTAAGACGAACAATATAACATTGGTGTTAGGGTCCCTAACACCAATGTACTAAAGCACAGAGTTTGAAATTGTGTCCAATATATTATGGGAAAAACTTCACCCCCTGTTACATGGCACTCGATAACCAAAAGTGGTAAGTATATTTAAAACCCTCTATTATTGCGATGAATAGAAGTCTTAACCCTTAACGTGGCAGGAAGTAAAAATCTTTAAAATATGTACTTTTTTGATATATTTGGTGTTAATTATGACTAAAAGATACGAAAAAAATAAATAAAAAAATCTAGATATCCTAGGTTTCGAGAAAAACTATGTACATCACAATGCACACTGCCAATTATGCCCAAATGTCGATATTATATTGTTTGTACATTGTGATGGACATTGCCAGGTTGATAATAAAATACATTTTTAATTTAAATTGTATATTTATTGTAATGAAAAGGATGAAATATTAAAAAATCTTAATTATTTTGTGTGAAAATTACGGAAGCAATTACGTTTTTGTTTTCCCACAACAAAACATAAATGCACGTTACATTTTATACAGAAGACAGTTGTCCTACCACTTTTGCAGTACTTGCAACGCATTGTTTCATCCCCTGCTTCTGGAAGATGACCCTTGTCATCGAATCGGACGCTATCTGTTGGACGAACGGAGACTGGTTTATGGATTTTTAGATCCTCGCCTATGTCTTCTGTGGCGTTTATACCTTTTACTATTTTATTTGATTTAGTCAATCCTTCGAACAATTGAAATCTAAAATCCTTTAACATAATATTTTTCCCATCTCGTTTATGCAAAAGCCAAGCGTTATTAATACACATATCAATAAGTTGTGAAAATATTCCTAAATACCAACGATGACTTTTAAAGGGGGTTCTATATAAAGATATTAGCATGTCCGCCAAATCTACCCCACCCATGTGTTTATTGTAATGTTTTACAATTTGGGGACATTCTACATGTACCTTCTTTTTCTCATCTTTATCATATCGCTTGATAGTTTCGATGGGGTGCGAGTCTATATAAGAGCTAATAAGTGTGACGACCTTATTGTCGTTCCACTTCACCACCGCCAGCTTGTTTTTATTACAGACAACTTGAGCGCTAGAACCACGTTTCTTCTTCTTCATTTGTTGGTCCGTTGGCAATAATTCCTGACACCCTCGTAAACGATTAGTCCTTATAGTACCGAGACTTAGAATGCCGTACTCTTCTCGCAGTATGTGCGTTAGTTCAAGTGACATGAAAAAGTTATCGGCGTAAATAATGGCCGGCTTTTGCCTTATAGTTTGGCACAATGCAATCACTACTTTGCCCCCCAAACCAATTGAAGCTTCTTTGTCCCTAAATGTCAGTCCACGAAACGTGTCATCGCCACCATAAAGAAGAAAATCGTATATAATACCCGAAACTCCCGCACGCACGAAATTCTTGAATCCCCATTTTTTGGGTTTCATTTTTACATATTGCTTCCTTTTACCTGCTTTACGACCTTTATAAGGTATCATCATCTCGTCTATAGAATATTTTCCTTCTTCTTCAACTTTCAAAAAGTTTTGCCGTATTCTTTCCATTACGGGACGAATTTTGAAGTAGCGGTCTGAATCTTCTAAGGTGTTATTAGCAAAGTGAAGGTACCGACGTATTTGTTGATACCTTTTGAGAGGCATAAGATCAGCAATGAGAGGGTATCTTGTCCTTTTACCCCAATAATCTGTATAGGCTGGCATATGTACTATACCCATTAACATTTGAATGGCTAGAAAGTTTTTTATCTCATCTTCTGTCAACTGTATAGATCGCCCTAGTTGTTGCACTGAGTATAAATTTGTATTATGAACAATGTCAGTAATTATATCAGGTGAAAAAAAGTAGTAAAAATAGTCCAGGGCTGTATCAATATCTGTTTGATGGAGGTCGTATAGGTTTTCTTCGAGACAAGCACTATGACGGAATACTGATTTGGACCAATGATAATCTAGAACAAATTTCTTGACCGCAACTTTTTTGGTCACTGCATTCCTTGTTGTCTTCTTACGCTTAGACCTGGTAAGTGGCAACTGTTGTCGGCTAGTGCCGGGCTGAGGAGACGATTGTTCAACGGTTGGGGTTGGTAAAGACTGTATGGAGTTCAGTGTAGGTAAAATGTTGTAGTTGCTTGTAGTCGGTGATGGAAAAACTTCGTTGAATATTGGCGTCAGAGGTGCATCTACAGAGATATCAATCTGCTCTTTATTGGATTCAGTCGAGCTATCTAGTAAATTGAGGCCCTCAAGCGAAGACGCTAGCGAAGGTGGATCAGAGGTATCTGGAGAAGGTGGTATATATACGTTGGTTTCTTCATCGGACGAAGAACTACCCTCAGAACAAGCATTTTTTTCAGGAACCAAAGCCAAGATTTTGTGCGAGCGAGTTAGTTTTAAATTCTGCAGACAAAATAAAAAAAAAACAAAAGTCAAAACCAACACCTTCTGTCAAAACATTACAAAAATAACAAGCAAATACCCCAAAACAATCAAAATCCAAATACTTCGTAAACCTGGCAATGTACAGTGTGGTTACCATAGTTTACGGTGAGTACTTCAGCGTGTCATTGGCAGCGTGCAGTGCAATGTACATTCAATTCTTTTATCAAATGCGTGAGATAGTGTTTAGGTAGCTACGTAAACATGCACTAATTGAATGCTGAATATTCTTTACATCAAAGCACAGACAAAACATTGCCAAGTTTCGAGCCAAAAAGTAAAAAAAATAAATAAAACACTTACTCGTGTCACACGTACAGCTTGTTGCTTCGCGGCCATTTTGATTTTGACATGTGTTTAATAGTGTTGTCACAGATAAATAATTTTCTACCAATTCTACTGTATTTGACAATATATTGATGAAAAACAGAATTATTATTTTTTCCAAAACTAATGAGATATATTTTTTTTAAATGTATGTACAGTGTGATGTACGCTGTCAAGTTAAGGGTTATTTCTAATTTCAGGATTTCGGCGAAGGGCCTCCTTATTAACTTATGGAAAAGTGTAATATTACCATACTTTGCCCCGTGAAACAAAAGGAACAATGAAACTAAATAATCAATTGTGCATTTTAATGTTACTTTATACAGTAATATAATTCATTCACATGACATCACACTGGTCCTAACTGGTACCCTAGTACCCGTTTAAGATTCATTTATAAAAAGAAAATAAGTATAAAAAATATATAATTTCGTTAATAATAAAAACAACCATATATTGGAAAATTGGTGGCAAGATATGTAAATGCACATTCTTATTTATTTCTTTGCATACATGAGATACTAGTTGGGTATAATTTGTTGTATTACACGCGTAGGTACTGACGTACTTCAAGTTTATTAAGTTAGGTACCTATAAGTATAGTTATTATATGGGCGATAACACACAATCACTAAAACTATTATGAATAAATATTATAGGGATGATAACTAGTCAAATTCGTAGGTAGGTACTAGATATTATGTACGATCTAATAATTTTGTTAATAAATTTTAAGGGATACTTAATAATAATTGTCATATTTTTTTTACGTCAAATATAGCACTCATTTTCTCGTAAAAACACTACAACTAGGCATAAAATGAAATCAATCAATGGAATCATCATTTTGTTCACACAGGTATCTACTTACTAAAAGTTTTTATTGTTTTATTTTTTGAAAAAGCTTTACCGGTCATCATCCCTGAAATTCGCTGACAAATTACCTTTGATGCTTAGCAACCAAATTATAATATTAAGTTAATATTGAGAAAACAAAGATAATTACGTATAATTAATTAATTATATAAGTTTTCCATTACTTATTGGGTAAATTATATATATGACTACCTACATAATCTTTCAGAGATATCAATAATCTGATGAAATGGATACATAATATACCTATTATTTTATGTGACAATACGATGCAAAGCCACCGCTTTGTATTATATAATATAAACCAGGCCGGCCCGCTCATACGGCAAGCAGTCGCTCCGGAGCCAAATACTAGAGAGCGCCTAATGTCCAGTGTAACCGGGAGTATGATTTAGAAGATCTAAGATATTTTTAAGGATTGTAGAAGTTATCAATTTTCTAAAATTCTAGTTATTTGCAGACGGTATTGCGCCTAATCTCAATTGGTCACTTCAGAGTATGGTCGAGATCTTCATGTTTCATATTTAGTTTGCACTAACAGTTAGTATAGGATAGGTATATGGTGCAATTGGTATCTGTGCAATGAGCAAACGGGAGAGGACGCAAACTGGATTACACCGGCGCTGAATTTAAATAAATATCTACTACTATGTTTTTTATCTTCCTACGATCAACAATACATAGTACCTAACAACTAAGTTATATTCAACACTACGATTTCCATCAATTAAAATTTTAAAATCTAAGTTCTAGTACCTATTTTCCTGATAACAAAACAGTAGAAATTTATGTTGGCACTATAGCAAAAATTTTACTTTTGAAAAAATTCTAACTTCAGAAAATTTTCATTGCTATTATCATAGCTAGTAAACAACAAATGAAACAAAAAATAATATACAGTTTTGAAATAGGAAACTTTTACATATAAGTACAAATCACGTAATTATTATTAAAGTTAGAGCAAACCGAATGTATATATATACCTAAGCAAAGATAAAATAGACGTGCTTATACCAACGTCGAGTGTGCTGAAGCATATTATGTAAGTCTAAATTAGAAACATGATTTTAAAGAAACTTAAGTAAATTTATAGCTCAACCAAAATGCAAATAAAATGCTTTTTACTCTTTGTTATAAATATTATGTAAACATAAGAAATTTCATATACATTGACAAAAACAAAATACCCAAGAAATGTTACCGGCCATTGTTTTTGGCTGGAAAACGCTACTTTATTATTTCTCATAAATACATTACGTTTCACAAAGTATGTACTTACTTCGAGTTTATACAATTGTTAATTCAACTGGCAAAATAAAATACATTAGCCTCTTAATTTACTTTCGCACAAGACTGTGTCTGCTTCCACACAATAGTATAAGTGAGACACAAATGTAATACAATATAATTTAATACTTCCGTAAACGTAGTCTTTTCGACATTATAATATCAAATATATGTATAAATAATTTAGGAATTCTAGTTTCAGTTCTAAACCCAACTTACAATAAAATATGTAGGAAAAAATTACTATGCGGAACTTCTACACATAACAAATGCTATAATATATTAGGTATAATATTATATGCCTAAAGAAAAAAATCCATAGATTTAGCCAACTCTGCAGATTTCATGTGGAATAAACATGTTTAAATGATTCATATTTCGAAATACAGAGTTTGTTTACATAACCTATGATATTAACTGTTGATAATAATAACATTCCAAATCAATTAGCTTGATGACACGATAAGGCATACTAATTAGGTTATAACATATTAAATTATTGCAACATAACTTTTTATAAAAACAATAATAAATTGCCAGATTTCATTGTGATTAGACATTTTAAGTTAAATGTGAACCTACATGCTTAATCCTAATGTTTCAAATATCATTTTCACTAGTTAAAAGAATACATCAATATTAATTATATATAAGCAATATAGTTACTGGTTTATATTATATCAAGACTTTCTACCAACTGACTGATTTGTAAAGTGTAAGTAAAAAAATAAGTAAATGAATAGGTAAAAAAATACAACAGCTTGATATTGTTATCACAAAATGCAACCAGTAATTGAAACATTTTAAATGCATAAATTAATATTATCTTGTTCGTCCATGACTCACTAGGTTTAGGAAACACAACCCATTAAAACTTACATAACAATAGGTAAATACAAACCAAACAAAAATAAATTTAAAACATATCATCACCATCTTATTACATATTTTTAAAATTTAATACTTTAATAGCCTTTTTTAGTTCCCATAATACACCCATTGCCAATTTTTATCATTAAAATACCTAATTAATGAGAGAGTATTACCTTAAAATAAAAAATAAAGTTGCCTCAGTCGATGGTACAACAAATATAAAACCAATTAGATGAAAGTGAGACTAATTAAAACATAATTGCATATTAGTTACACTGCAAGATAGAGAATTCAAAATCTCATGGAAGGATTATGAGCAATTTACATTTGAGCTTTAATTGACAAAAAATACTCCTTATTCAAAATGTTGTAGAATATTGTGCATATTTGGCCGATAAAATTTATTTTGTCACAAACAAGGAGGTGGTAATGGCATATCAATTAATTTGCATACTTCTAGAAGGAAATTTTTCAAAATATTAGGTTGGTTGTCCCTTGATCCATTAAGTGTTATTGTCGGTATAAATGTTGGTTTCAGTATATGAGTATCATCACCATATTTCTTCAAGAGAGCTGAGCCATGGTCATTCTTGGCACAGTAGCTGATTGGGTCCGGTTCAATCTTCATTTCCTTTGCACACTGCAAGAATTTATTATTATAATAAGCAGATACACAAGTAATTGTTTTTATTTATTAATTTCTTTACTAATAAAAGAATATATATATATATATATATATATATATATATATATATTTTGTCCGCTCTACGGCAAATGTTGATCAGGCCGAAATATGCATTAAATGTTGATCCACCTTTAGAAGCTTGTAGCTTAGATAATTTTGATAATATCGTGCCAAACTACGAATATAAGTATTCCCCTCATAGCAACCCAGTGCCTAACTACGCCGCAAACACTCTAGCTCGTCACCAACTCACACGGCAATTGTTGATTTTGTAACCGCCATTTATTTTACACTTTGTGTGACATTGTTGATCAATATAAACGTGGGGAGATCAACAAATGCCGCGGAAAGTACACCGATGCTGCGGAGCGGCACCATCGCAAACGAAACAAAAGATAGACGCTAGATGAGATACGGCCGTTTTCTATATTCAATCCCAATCCCTAATTTGCGGATCGAGATTGATATTTGAATCCATTTCCTACTTTTAGTATTTCAATAACCGATCAATGAATCGCAATCCTGATCTTTTTTTTCAATCCATCTTTGGGAGGGCGGATTGGATTTTTAGTTTAGTATTTGTATGAAAGTGACAGTTTTGCGTATTCTATATCCAAACTCTAATTTTGACAAATCGATTTTTGAACATTATTGATCGTAATTTTCGATCCTCAAATTTTGACCGATTGCATGCGTAAACTTGTTATAAGACGTGAAAATGGAATTATTTTCAAGTGATAGTGATAGTGATCTTGAAGTATTAGCTCAGCTATCGGATTGGGATAGTACCGACAGCGAACAAGTGAGTGCCGTGTCCTCAAAAACTTTTCGACGAATTAACTTCATAGCAAGTTTAACTGACGCAGAGTTCACATTCAGATTTAGAATGAATAAATCTTCAGTTGAATCTGTTTTAAATGAAATAATGCCCTATATCAAAGTGAAATCAAGACGGTAAGTTGTTTGCTAACATTACTTCAATATATAAACATAACCTAAATTAGAAACGGATACCTAACTAACTATAGTACTTATTTATCATTTTCAGAAATAATGGTATACCACCATTGCATCAACTTTTACTGGCACTTCGATTTTATGCATTGGGGACAATGCTTAATTCAGTGGCCGACTTTGCTGGAGTGTCCTTATCGTCAGCTTGTAGGATAGTGGCAGACATATCTGCTGCTATCGCTAAATTGTATAACAAATACATTTGTTTACATTCTAGAACTACAGATAAATTTTATAATATAGCTCAATTCCCAAGAGTATGTGGTGCTATTGACTGTACACATGTACACATTCAGTCTCCATGTAAGTATCCAACTCTAGATTTGTTATTAATTAAGAATTGGCAATTTGCTTAAGTAGGTTTTTAATTATTTAGAAAGTTCTCATACATATGCAACATAAATGAAATGAGTATGTTGTATTTCAGGTTCAACAATAGGAGAGGAATTTAGATATAGGAAAGGATACTTTTCTATAAATGTCCAAGCCGTTTGTGATGCAGACCTTAAATTATTGAATGTTGTTGCTCGGTGGCCTGGTTCAGCTCATGATGCTACTATTTTTAATAATTCAGTATTAAGAGGTAATATTGGGTTTATTGTCTCTTCTAATATCATAAAAATAATATGGTGTTCTGATGTATTTAACTATTATTACAGCTCAGTGTGAAGATGGTATTTTAGGAAATCGTTGGTTACTTGGGGACAGTGCCTATCCAAACAGGCCTTACTTGCTCACACCTTTGCTAAATCCATCAACTAGCCAGGAAATAAGATACAATGAGGCACACATAAAAACTAGAAACACAATTAAAGGTAAAATCACCATTAAAGCTTTCACTATAGGTACTACAATATAAGATTAAGTAATAATTCATGAGACCATTTATTTATTTCTATTTTATTAACCAAATCCATTAAAAAGTGTACTTGTTTGTTCAGGACATTTGGAGTCTGGAAACGTCGCTTCCCAGTCATATCATTGACCATGCGGTTGTCATTACACAACATACAAACCGTTATAATAGCTACAGCTGTTCTTCACAACATCTGCAGAAATTATAATATTGAAGAAGTACCCCCAGAAGTATAAATGCCAGAAGAAAGTGAAATTACTGTGACATCAGAAAATTCGGACAGTATTCATAATGATATCAGACATAGACAAGGATTAATTTTAAATTATTTTTAATACTTATTACCTATTTATTTTGCAAACATTTTTTTTGTCTGTCTTGAGATAATTTGTACATTGCTTTAATTCGATTTTTATTATTACCACTCCATCTTTATTCTTAAGTATACTTACTATTAGTTTCAAATGAATAAACAATGATAATTTCAGGAAATAAAATATTCCATATTTAACATTTCAAAATTGTTTAATTAGTGATTTATTATAAATTAAAGGACATTACAAACTTATTGACAAATTAATACTAGTTTTACATACAAAAATATTACTCTAGAAATCCTCTCCCTTCAGCTTCCTTATCTCTAATCTTAATTTTTCATTTTGTAACTTAACATTTTCAAACTTACTCTCTAACAATTTTTTCTTAACACTATAATATTCAGCTAATGCAATATTTCGAGCTTGAGACCCATTATCTGGCTTCAGGAGTTTCCGTTTAATACAACGTGTAAAACAAAAAAAAAGCTATTAAAGTTTTATTGAGTAACAAACATAAAGTTTCACATATTATGTACTAGCTGCCCCCTGCGGTTTCCACCACTTCTCTGCTCCCGTAGGACATAGCGTGATGTTACGTAGCATATGTGTTATTCTGATGTACGTATAAGACTATATTACTATAAAGTTGCATCAAAATCCATTCAGTAGTTTTAGCGTGAAAGAATAACAAACATCCACACATACAATTTTTTTTTAACAAATTAGTAGGATATTACCACTAGCTCTAAAATTCCTTTTTTCCTTTGGTACCACTGGAGTACTAATATTGTTCTGCACCGTCACCAACTCATCTCCAAGGCTATTGACTGGCACTTCACTGCCCATGGACACTGCTGTATAAGAATTGTTGATAGGCAATGGACTATCAATCAATAGCATTGGAGACATGCTATTATCAACCGGCACAATAAAGGTCTCTACACTCCCGTCACCGTCACCATCACCAATCTTTTGGGGCTCAGCATCACCACCAAACCTCTCTGTGAGACCCTCTCCAGTGCTGCCCAGTAATGCTGCCACCCTATCCAGTACGTCATCAGGAGGAAAGTACCCTGGTGGCCCACCTCCAGTCTGGAACATAATATGACATAATTCAACACGTTAATTATGAATACAACATAAACATACAATCATGTCAATTTTAAACTTAATTATTTACCTTGATCCGTTCCATTCGTATTAAAGTACTACGTTTTCGTGAGTTCTTCTTTAAGTTTTCCCATTTAAGACGCAGTTGTTGTGGTGTACGGCGACAGGTACCAATGTTTGCGTTGAAAACACCGGCAATCCGTGTCCATTCTTCGACCTTTATTTTATTTCTTGTGGCGTTTGTTTTTTTATTATTTATAATCTTGCTCCCCTCAATTAAGGAGAGCAGTCCTTTCGTCTCTTCCTTCGAAAGAGGTTTGGTTTTATTCTACAAACAAATAAATTAAAGCTTAGTAAGTTTTGTACAAAGTGGCGCGAAATACCGCGTCCCCACGCATTTATCTTTTACAGCAAAAATAATACATTTGTGGACGTGAATGTTTACTACTCGATAAATTAAATCATAATTATACTATTTACTTACAGTTTCTGGCTCCATTTTTCACTTTCTTCTTTCCAAGAAACAAACTACAATCAACAACTTGAGGTTTTATGTAATGTATAATTTATAACATAAACTAATGGTTAGGTTAGGTTTCTTAGCGATTTTCTAAACGCCATTAAAAATATATAAAATTTCTGGAAACGACCGGACATAGGTTCCACTTTCACTTTCGACAGACCGGACATAGGACGGGCACTCTCTTGTTTTGATCATCGCGTATAGATTGCAAAGCGAAGTGGCAACAGTTCATAACAAAACCAACCAATCGTGGCAAAGGTGACCTCTGATTGGTCCATTTGAATCAGATCAACAATTGATGGAGCGGATTTGTATAAAAAATGCAATGAATAGTTCTTATTTGTGCCGCTAGAGAGTTAGCAATTGTTGATCATAGTGGAGCCACATTTGTATGCCGAATCATACATTAGATCAACAAAAACTGTTTTGATCAACAATTGCTAACTGATCAACAATTAACTGATGCTACAACCCGTCTGATCAACATTTGCCGAATGGATACATCTATATAAATATATATATATATATATATATATATATATATATATATATATATATATATATATATATATATATATATATATATTGATCACATTTACCCTTGCAAGAGCACCATCAGCATCCATATTATCAGAGATCATGCATTCTGTAATCTTGACAGAAGTTGTCATGTTTGCCACAGCCTCTATTGCACAAGCATGGATCCTATTTGCATAGCACTCCTCTTCACCATGCTGACATTGAAAGTAATACTTTCCATTTTCTTCTTTGGTCTGTAAACAACAAAAAGGATGTGATTATAATTATGTGGGACAAACAGTCAAAGACCAAAAATCTAAAATAACAACAAAGCTAAAATGTGATATTTTATAAATACACCTTTTCAGCTTGAATTCTCCATGTAAGTATAATTGAATAGTCAAACTGTTACTGGCATGGGATGATGAAACCTTTTGTATACAAATTCAATTTATTTTTTATTATTGTAGGTAGTAAATTATATTTGCATATTAAAATAAAACAAATGTTAATACTTAATCAATAGAGTAAAAGAGATATCACATTGCTTTATTTATAACACAAGCATTCAGGTTAATGTTTCATATTTACCTTGAATACCAATTAGTAATTTATGACTAACATAATGTTACCTTTTTAAATAGGCATCTATAAAATGTATGTTACTTAGATGCTATAAATGTATTTATTAACAATGAAGTATACTTACAGTAGCTTTGCCATAGGGTACTAGAGTTACATCTAAGAATTCAGACAGTTTATCAGTCACTGGGCCCAAATGTCTTACAAAGAAATGTTTAGAGTCAGGACAAAGAGCTTCATAGTAAACCCTCACTTTAACTTTATCTTGTTTATGCTTATTGTATTTGTCATCCTCCAACTCCACTATTCCAGCCTAGAAAATAATAAATTATGCCTAAAATATGTATAAACTAAACATTTGTAACTGCATATACAGACAAGACCCAAAAACCTTGATTTCACTTTCAATACTTCAATCACCATATAACTGTGTAACATTATCTAAATTAGTATCTTCCAAATTTGTAATATGTAGGTTAGTAATATTGCAGTTGTTTGTCTTAATGTTTTTACACTACAGAACAATAAATACATTCGCTTTGTAATTGAAACTTGGCTTAATAACACATAAAAATTTTAGACTTAAAAATACATTTTATAGATAATACAAATATATGAAAAAATAAGGTAAATTATTTAATTGTTACTGATATTATATTATCATACATACCTCCGAAATTTGTGTAACAGGTTTATCAGGCAAAAGTCTGAAGAACTGCCACATAATCAAAACTAAGAGTAATAAAACTATTAATCTGTATCTATTACAAGAATAAAATGCCATTTTAATTGATATAACTTAATGAATTCCATTCAATATTTAGCTATATTGTACACAGTTACCCTATGTTTAAAACGACCAAATGTAAGCAGATGTTATCACTAAACTGTCAACGCCTGGTCTCGTTTCAAGATATTTTAAATTAATTTACCAATTTTACTAAATTTATAACTATTTTTAATAGGTTATTTAAATAAAATGCATTTTTTTAATTACTTTTAGGAACTACAAGCAAAATGCTATGTAGTAAACACCTTTAAGAATGAATGAACGAAAATTTTGATTTTGACATGTTATCTCACAATTTTGACCAAAGACTTTGTACTTAAAACTAGACTGTGCACCAAATTTTTTTTGTTTAGCTAAAATGTGCTTTATCCCGTTATGTATAGGGTAGCTATTTTCTTAAAAGCGTTAACAAACTAAAACCGGTCCAGGCGAGAGGGCTCCTCACGGTAGTGTGTCCTTGTCTCACATCTTGCCAGCACAACTAACCTTAGGGGTTGGTAGAAATGGTAGAAAATTAAATATAATTATGTTTTATGTTTTAACAAAACAAACAATTCATAAACTACAAAACGTATATAAATGTCTTTATAGTCCTTATAATTAATAGTCAATTTGCGGTATTATACGAAAAATCATTAATACAGAGTAAACAGTAGTACTTGAATGTTTGTGTTTGGTAACAATTAATGCAAGATGGCGGTTTGCTGATTTCGGGTTAGGGTAACAATGAATTTTCTCGATCAAAGATTTACTTACTATATCGCAGTAGATAGGCAGAAGATACGACTAACTGTTTTTGTCCTTTGTGTCCTTTTCATTTTTTATTTTATTATTTTAAAGAACTTACCAATGATACCAATGATATTATAAGTAAACAAGTGTAAATAGGTTATAAGCGTCCAGTAAGTGTTACATTAAAATGTGGTGAAATGTAGAAGCAAATACGAGACGTGTAAGCTGGACGATCGTCTTTAATTAAGTGTATATACCTAATAACTTACACTACTTATGGGGAGAGATCTCACACACTACACCTTCCCCGTTTTTTAGAAAGTAAAAATATAGCCTAAAATACATTATTTCTTATAATAAAAACTTAATAAACATTTACTTTAAATATTCGCACTGTTGACAATTACTTATATAATAGAATTTTTGAATGTTTTATAGAATTAGATAAAGTAATGTAAAAAATAATGCTTACCAAGCTTGTCAGAAAACAAAATTGTAATTATATTAATCTGAGGCTTCAACATGTGTTCAATGTAGTAAAGTATATAGAAAAACTTTTTTTGGTAATCTCTCCTGATTTACAGAGCTTGAATATAAATAAATGCTTAATATGATAGTACATCAATTCACCCCTAAAATTAAGCACCTTTTGCCTGCCCATCCAGCATCTGACGAATCCCACGAATTGGAACTGATTTAATGTATTGATTAAAAAAAAATAATTTTAAGACATAAAAGCTACGGGAAGACTTTAAGCCTCAAGCATGTAGGAAATAGGGCTACATTATGACAAAAATTGCGTAAAACTGTATTGTTCAGCAATGTATAAAAATAAATCAATATTAAAAGAAAACAGTCTTTTTCATTCCACAATACTGCATCACATTCATTTGCCCTAACAGTCATTTAATAATATTCCTCCTCATCATCTTAGCAAATGTTATCCCGGTTACATATGCTAAGCTTTCACCTAGGAGCTTGCCAAGGTTCGCCGAATACGATCTTGGAGTGGCGAGTCTAATAATTACAGTAAAGCGATTGCCATCTGACTTTCGTAGCCACAAGGGGAATCAGACAAATTTTTCGGATAATGGTTAAACATTCAGCCAACCTCACGGTGTATTCCCTCGCCGAAATCATCATTTTTCTGTAGGTAATATTAATATGATGTTGGGAATATATCACTTTTAAAAGTAGAAAAAAGTACTTTCAACCCTTACCCACGTGTACAGATTACTATATAAATACTTACTTACTTACTTACTTACTTTACTTACAGGTTCTGTAGATTTAAAAAAGTAGTTTTTAACAAAAAAAAAACCGACTTCCAAAATTTATTTTTTGCTTTTTAGTTTAGTTATTTTGGAAGTCGGTTTTTTTGTAAAAAAAATATTTTATTTTACCATTTTAAGTGATAGGCAGAAAAAGCTAGCATGCTTCTCGAAAGAGAAGACGACGGCTATTTGAGACCGAAAATCACGGTAATAATAGTCCTGAGTTAGTCAGCTTTGAATGCTGTAAATCGTTGAGGAATTCCCTCAAATGTCAATGACTTCCATCATCAGGTATACTGCAGACCTTCATTATACACAATCCATATAGGTGCAAAGTTCTCATCAATATAAATGAATTAAGTCCAAACAGGAGGTAGTTACTGAAAACCGTTCTGGAGTTCCCTGAGTTGTCTTTCATTCTCATCATCAGACCCTTAATGACAGTCACGACCAATCTTGGTGAAAAGTGCTCATCAATACGAATCATTCAAGCCCAAACACAAGGCAACTACTCCAAATAGTCAAGGAGATCCCAAGACGGTCTTCCGCTTTCATCATAACGATTTACTGTATAACTTTATTGTAATTCATAAAGGTGCAAAGCTTCCATCGATATAAATAAATTAGGTCCAAACACGATGTAGTTACTGTAAAACGGTCAGGAGTTTCCTGAGCTGTCTTTCGTTTTCATCATCAGACCCTTACTGACAGTCACTACCAATCTTTGTGCAAAGTGCTCATCAATACGAATCATTCAAGCCCAAACACAAGGCAACTACTTCAAATAGTCAAGGAGATCCCTCGATTGTCTTCCGGCTCCATCATCAGGTCGAGTTGTAACATCGGCAAGTTGTAGCGTTGTCAAAAGCCTACTAAAACCACATGCAAAAGCACCACTCGTACCTTCAATTTTTGAAAGTTCTCAATTTCTCTGGTCTTCCATCATCAGATCCTGATTTCCTTATCATGGGACCATTCTAAAACTATCTCCTTGCCAACAAAAAAAGAATTATCAAAATCGGTTCATTAATAACGGAGATATCGGCGAACAAACATAAAAAAGCAAATATATATGGTCGAATTGAGAACCATCCTCCTTTTTGGAAGTCGAGTAAAAATATACACACGTTTTGGATTGTTGGTTTTTTCTTACAAAAAATTAGGTTGGTGAAGTTACGCTAGTTTGGTAGTATCAATATATCGTGATACTTAAATAATCGTTTTTACAAGCAATTTGTCCCGTATTCTGTTTGGTCATGGTCACTACATTAGAAAGGGACACACTACCATCGGGAGCTGTCTCGCACCGGCTCGGTTTTTGCGCCTTAGTGCACAGTCTAGTTTAGAGTATAAGGTCTTTGATTTTGACAGTCATGTGACCGACTCACCTCCATTGAGATAGAAAATATTCATTGACATAGGAAATACAAACAAATAAAAACTGAGGAAACATCCATTGCTAAAATAGATTATTTAGGATAATGTATCTTGAATTTTAAATGGGAGATTATATCGATACTTTTGTGGAATGGTACGTAACTATGCCATTTTGACATATTATTGTAAACAACATTTTTTTACTAAAACTGTCTCACAGACAGAAATAGAAGTAGATATATATACTTTGGCAAAAGATTCAAGTATCCGTAACATTTTTTTCTATCTATGTGGATTATTTTAAGTAATATTTGATGAAAACTGTTTACTAACCTATACAAAGACAATTGAGGTTGATTTTCGTTCTTTTTTGCACCACACTGCACAATACAACACACAGGCATATTGTATTTTTGTTTCACTATATATATTAGAAGTTTAAAAAAATGGTTCTTTGTAATTTACTGGAAAACCGCAATAATTTAAAACATAAACAACCGTTTGACAGCACAACTACCATGAAACTCAGGTACTCTGAGCGCTTAAGATGGCGGACATGGCACTTACCTACAACTTTGCTAATGTCAAAATGATTTGTTGCCTTAAGCAACAACTTAAATATTGTTGTCCCTTTTGTCTAATACAATTATTGCCTAAGAAAGAGTGAGAAAACTATATTTCATAGTTTGTTTCATATTTCACTCATATTTGTATAAGCATGTATACTTCTATAATAACACGGCGCCTTTATATATTTTCTATCTCAATGAAAATATTTCATAAGTCAATGCTCACCTCTCATGACGATTCATAACAAAGAGTATGTAACCACTACGTTTATTGATTGATTCATAACACTGACATTAGGGCTAATGTAGATAGTCGGTATTTTTTGCAAAAAATCGGTATTTTCCAAACGGGGAAAAAAGGCTATCAAGTGCACAATCACCATATAAATGATAATTATAGCTACATAGGTAGTTTTTTTAAGAAACCAGATCCCCTTCACTGAGCGGCAGTGGTTGTGACTCGCCTTCGTTCAGCAGCATTATGGGGAGATATGGGGAAAAGGGAATGAGTAATTCAAAATGAAAAGTCAATTATGATTATACTCATATTAAGTTCTATTCAGTCAACTGTAAAGAGGCAAATTTTTCAACATCATAAAATCCAGCCTTGACTTGTCTTCCTCCAAAAAATCTACCATTTAAGTCGACAACTGCTTTGATTGCACTTTCAATACGTTTAAATTCAACGAAAATTCTGACAGCTTCATCTGGTGGTGCATTAGGCATCTCAAATATTAACACTTTGATTACATCTCCATATTTCGTATTACATTCATCTTTTACTTCAGGTTCTAATTCTTCATCTACATCTCCTGGACCAACCATATTCTGTAAAATAAATTTATATTATAGGCACATTTAACTACAAAAGAATACTGAACTAATCAGTAAAGAATTAGTATGCATCTTCACAATTTGAACTGATACATACCCTCAACAACACAACTTTACTGGGTGACTTCATTATCTCTGTAATAGATGGCTCCCGATTAAATGAATGTGGTGAATTTGAGGCATTCGGTGAATCTGAAAAAATATTTTAGTTATAAAATTATAAGAAATGGTGCTTAAAAATTAAATAGTATCTTGTTTTTTAAGAACACACTATTTATTTTGCCATGTCAATTTCAGTGAAGAAAATAGATTAAGTTACCAGGTCCCGGTAGAGACGGCATAGCAAATCCAGGTGGAGGCATAACAGAACCTCCATCCTTCTCGTGGATAATGCGACCACCCCTTTTTGAAGTTTTTTCTACTTGTAGAGCCACTGACATTCCTTGTTCCTTTTTACCCAAGCCTTGACCTTCCTAATGACATAAAACAAACAGGTCCAAGTATAAAAATTAAGATAAATACATTTTTAATTAAAAATTAAAAAATGTTTTTGGAATTTACCTTGAAACCATATTTGGCCATGATTTTAGCTGCAACAGAACTTGCGCCATATCCGCCGATAGAGAAGCCAACAGAAGGAGGTGGTGTTTGTATAGCTGGAGGCATTGGTGGAGGGGAAGCTGTTTCCACAGTCAGGGAGGGTGGAGGGGCTATAGCTGCACCAGCGGACCTCTTTGAAATTTCTTCAGCTTCCTCTTCTTCTGGTTGCTATAAAACTCAAAGTCAATTTGAATGCACACTATGTCCAATCAACACTATATCACATTTTACATTACATGTACATACTGGTTACTTGGTATGATATTGTAGGAAAATAATGAAATACATTTTTTACCATAATATCCTGAAAAATATCCTGTGTAAAATAGTAAAAATAAAGCTATTAGAATCTGTATTAAGTTTTGGTTATTTTACTAGCTAAATTAACATGATTTTATAATAAGTTTTAGCTTAAGTACATTTAATCTTACCATGGCAACAAGAGTTTTTTCTGGTATAATTTCCTCCTCATCACCAAACCTACTTTTTCGTTTCCTTTCTGATCTGTCACCTCGATCACCATCTGACTGTAACCTCTTTGCTTGTATTTCTGAAACCATTATATTTTAATAGAACAGGGAACAGTCCTTTAAAAGCCCTAATATTATGCATAAGGTAATGTTGATTGATAATATTGTAATAACACTGTAAAACTAATGAGTTCTGATAATCTTGTTGTGTAAAAATTTCAAGTTATGAGAGTTTAAGAATACCTTTGGCAACTTTTTCATAATCATTAGGCCACATAGGATCATATTCATTAGCAACATTCCAATCAAAATCTCGCACATTCAATGAAGCTGTCAATGTTTTTCCTTGACTTTTAGGGCTGTTAGAGTTAGATTCGTCGTCATCCTTTTGTTTGCTCTTCAGGTCTATTACTGGAGTAAGCACCTGAAGATTGTAAAGTTATTAGAACCTCCTTATTAATGCACCTCCTTCTTATCAATGTCCAACAATTTGTAATTACCTGAGTAGTACGTCGTAATGCTTCACGCTTGGGCTGAGTAACTGCTGCTTTTTTTAATTGTAACTGTGATTGTAGAAGTTTTATTCCCGAAGACCAACCAGCTACCTTTTCGGTAGTTCGAGCTTTAATTGTATCAAGATCGTCATACAGCGACATTCTTATTTATGTTTATTTATGCATGCAACAAGCGTTAGAAATTCACCTACAAGATAATAAATATAGTTTTAAATTAGGCTTACACGTAATATAACAACACAGACATATTTGAACAAAAATTAATTAATTATTTACAAAATAAGTAAAGTTACACACCGTAACAGTAAACAAGATGTCACTGTCAAGTGTCAACCACAACATAGATTATTAATAAGTCAGGAACTACAGACTACTATAAGTCTCTGACAACTTACAATTAATTGTCAATGTCAAGTAAAAAAGGTTGACAATAATTCTTAACCACTCGACCATGGCATCATCTTCCTGCCCTTGTACCGTTTTATTTGGGGTCGGCGCAATATGTTTCTTTGTTCCATTCTGTCCTGTCACCCGCCACACTATCACTGACTCCTCTGTCTTCCATATCATTTCTTACACAATCAATCCTTATTTTCTTTGGTCTCCCTCACCCTCTCCATCCATCCACATTTCTACTCATGGCTTTTTTTGTAACATGCGTTTCATCCCTCCTTTTCACATGGCCATGCCAAGACAAACGGTTCCCTTTCAACTTTTCAGTCACTGGCGCCACTTTCAAACTTCCTCTAATTTAATCATTTCTCACTTTATCCATTCTCGTCACACCGCACATCCATCTCAACATTCTCATCTCTGCTACATGCAATCGTCATCATTTTCATCCGTCTTTTTCAGAGCCCAACATTCTAACCCATACAGAAGGACAGGCCTTATCAATGACTTGTATAATTTACCCTTCAACCTGAGGGGCATCCGTAGGTCGCAAGTTATTCCAGTGACCTGTCGCCATTTCATCCATCCTGAGTTGATCCTATGTGCTACGTCTCGGTCTATCTCACCATTCCCTTGGATAAGCGACCCAAGGTACCGAAAATCGGAACAGGTTGGTATGGGCGTTCCGGCGAGAGCTATGGACACAGGGCTAGAGAGACCGCCAAAATCGCAGAACAGATACCTACTCTGTTTTAGTTCTGCTCAATTTTAGGCCAACACTCTCCAGTCTTTGCCACCACACCTTCAATCTACTCTGGACCTCTAGAGCACTCTCGGCAACCAGCACAATATCATCGGCAAACACCAGGGAGCCTCTTCCTGAATGTCAGACGTCAGAGCATCCATTATTTTCAAGAAGAGGTAAGGGCTGAGAGCCCACCCTCTCGACCATGTATTAAATGAAATATTTTAAGGAAATAAAATATAAATATGGAATCTCTGTGCGTTATAGATGCATTAAAGACATTTGATTTGAAATAGGTAGATGACCGTTTTCTTCACACTGCACTCTAAACTATGAGTAATAACTAAGTATGGCTAACAAATTCATTTTTTATTACAGAATATTCAATTTAAAAAAAGTAAGACATTATTATTTTTGCGTTAATTCTTTATGTAGAAATAATTGCGCAATTATATATGTAATTTAATTAAATATTGCAAGGGTTTAATACTTAGAAGATTAAACAAAGTAATAATTGATATCGTTAAAACAAAATATATTTAGCATAACGAAGTTAACTAAACTTTTTCAATTTTGTCTATTGTATGCTTTTTCATTATCTATTTTATTTTTCAGAATGAGATATAAATTATATAGGTACTTATCTTTGGAAAATTGTCGTCATTGCCATATTGCCATCACAAGTTTTAATTATGATGTAAATTATACCGTTGAAGCAATATTGAACGTTTAACTAGAACAAAATTACTAATCAAATGGGGGCTTACGTTAGTAAAGATACACGTCGAATCAGTTTTGATAATACTTTTGAATTAATATCTCCTATACCTCTTCAAAAATCTATAGAAGCAGAAAATTCGATAGCTTTTGATAACTTACCACCAGTAAGTTTAATTGGATTGTATTATTTAAAAAAGCACGTAGCTTAAAATTAATATAACTGTAGCTTATATAATAAAGCTTGAAACATGGAATAACATTGTCTTCTTGGCGTCATTGAAGAGGCAGAAACAGAGCTCCGCTTACAACTTTGTGTCCTTATTCTTATTTAATCATACCATGACGACCGAAATTAAATTTATAACATTTTCAGGAACCATCAGACGAACTTTTATTTAAAGACAGTGCAGATTTTCAAGAAGATGGTGAAATGGAATATTGGTCTCATAGAATAGATTATCTAAAGAAAGAACATCAAGTTATAAATAAAATAATTGAGGCTGAATATGATAAAAGCATTGAAACAACGAATAAAACATTTGAACCCCCCAAAATTACCCACGAAAAAATTCAAAAAATTAAGCCTTGTTTTGATTGGAGAACAAAGGTATAATATGTTTTATGGTATAAATCGGCAACCAAGCAGGTGGATTACCGCCACCACACCCGCAACACCAAAGGAGTTACGAGTGCCTTGCTGGACTTTGAAGGATAAGGTTTTTGGATATTTAGGGATTGAGAAGGGTTGTAAGGGAAGGGATTGAGCCGGTAACCTCACCCACACGGCGAAACCCAACGCCGTGATTGTTTCACGATAAGCGAGATTTGGCTGACTAGGTATAAAAATAAATTAGGTGTAACTGCTAATGTTTATTTGACAAACATAAACAAGAGCTTATTGTGGACAGTCTCCTCCGAGGTATGTGTAATTTACAAAGTGAATCGACATAAAATTAATAAGAATTGAATCCGTAACATAAAGCACAACAGCAATGTAGTTTTTAAAACGTGGTGTACGTATATCCTCAGACTTTTAACGCCGAGAACCTTCGCGGTGCTTGCCCTTACGGATTTACCGCACAAGGCAGGCCCTGGGTCACCGCGGCTGTATTTGTTAGAACGTAGTGTTTATATCAATGGTTTATATAAACTCTTTGATATTTGTGGTAGCTCCTGCTAAATTTATGGCCTTTAGAGGCAACTTATTTTCTTCGAGTGGCGCGTGGAACATTACGCCAACGCCTATGCCCATGGGAGTATGACAATTGACACCCCCAATTGTATCACTTAATCTCTGTCTAAATAGGTATGCCAATAGAACACATTAAATAAGTTCAAACAAGGTTGCTTAAAATTTCCCTGTCTTTCGCCTCTACCATTAGGTCAACTCCAGACCTTCATCAAATAGTAGTGCTTTAAAATACTTAACTGAACGAATAAACAGACTACTCTTAATTTTACTAGTATCCTATGATCAGTCCTTGACTTAGTAAGGATAATACCACCTTTAATGAATTATAAAAAAAAAGAAAATCAAACGACAAGTTATCTGCGAACGAAATAAAAAAAAGCATGTGGGGCAAGCCTTCGTTTTAATAGTTAATCAGTTGAAAATAATGTTCATATTCAATTTATGTATTTTGTTTTTTTAGATAATGAAATGCTACGAAGAAAATGCTCATCAACCTTTAGTGTGCTCAGCGTTAGTGCAAGCTTTTACTAATTGTGTAACAAATTGCAGATTGGAAGATTGAAGTTATAAAGTTTTTGAAGGATTTTATTAATTGTTACATGGTTTGTCAGTTCGTAATAAATGTTTTTATATTATTATTTCGTATCCGTGCATGTAAAAGTGTAAAAGTGTAACATGGTAAAAGTGTGATTCCCGATGTAGAATAAATTCTAAGATCTATAAATATTATATTATTGAGGCGTGGCGTCGCGTATGTTTCGCAGTATCGCCCACCGGTTTTATACATTCAATAGGGTTAGAAGTAAACTTGGGTTGCTTGATGTATAGTGTCGCTTGTGTATCTATGAAACCGGGGCGTTCTGTTGCAACACGAAACGAATAGGATGCCTCGCTACGCCACATAAATATGTCTCTAACCTTAAGTGACTGCTTTACTGGTTACTGTTTTATTGGTACTTAATAAAAATATCATTCATTTCGTTACTTTGCCCTATGCCAAGTAACAACTTAAAAGTTGCGTTTCATTCTTCTATTTGTTTTTTTTTTGTCTACGCTGCCATAATCATAAGCCTTTTACCAACAACAAACTGTTTTTTTTTGTGTGGAGAAATATAACGTTTTTATAGTGTCTGTATTTTGATGGAAAATAAAGTCATCCCATCCCATGACTTCTCTGGCTCTGGGCGGGGTATAATATTATCCATTTAACTTATGAGAAGAGGTTAACAATTTACTAGGGAACCGTAATGCGGCTGTTGGAGCATTGTAAGTAATACCAAATAAATAAGATTTCTTTACATAATTTAAAGACTTTGACCAGACACTTTTAAAGATTTAAACATTAGAGATTAGGTACTATAAACTAGTTTATAAACGCAAGAGTCTATGTCATCATTATGTGTGTAAGTAATGTCAATGTCGCTTTGACGTTACTGTTTACTTCCTCGTGTGACGTGCAAACAATTTATCGTTGAATTCGAATTCTGTTGAGCGAACTTATTATGGTATTTTTTTAGTACCCTTAATAATCTGTCATAATTCCTACAATGGCTACAAACAATTCAGGAATTGAAGATAAGGCATCATGCCATACTATTTTAGATAAAATAAATTCAATAAGTGATGCAGTGGTTGCAAAGGTAGGTGTTTCATGTATACAAATAACTACTCAGTGTATTTTTAAGCCTTCTCACCTAAACAACTAATGTATTTTGTTTTTATTAGGCACCAGATATTAATGATTTTACTATAATAAAGCCGATAAGCAGAGGAGCTTTTGGAAAAGTATTTTTAGCACATAAAAAGAGTAACAAAGATCAGTTGTATGCAATTAAAGTAATGAAAAAGTCAGACATGATTAATAAAAATATGGTCACACAAGTTGTAACCGAGAGGAATGCATTGGCGTTGTCAAGAAGCCCATTTTGTGTACATTTATTTTACTCTTTGCAGTCAACATCGTCTATTTACTTGGTAAGATCAGTTGCATTCTCTTATTGATTATTTGAAAATTTACTGATTAAATGTCGTGCATGTACTATGCCTGTAACAATAATCCACCTAGCCTTGGGACCTTGCTGTAGTCAGAGTCTCATGGGAGTAGTAGGAGGAGACAGTTAGGGCAAACTAAGACATGTCGAAATAAGATACAGTTTCAACCTCTCTTGCTCACTCAGTAAAAAGCTATATTTATATTTTGAGTTTGCCAAATAAAGGTTATTTCACTTTTTATGTAGCCCTTGTGCTGTGTACAGGAGATGTATAATTTGACAATGTTAAAATATTATCCAAAATGAAAACTGTTCCTCTTCCATTTGTCACAGGTGATGGAGTACATGGTTGGTGGTGATTTGAAGTCCTTACTAGGTGTATATGGGTTCTTAGAAGAATCCATGGCAGTTTTCTATATAGCAGAAGTCACCCTTGCATTAGACTACTTGCATAAACACAATATTGTACATAGAGATTTGAAACCAGACAACATGTTGATATCAAGAACAGGCCATGTGAAGCTCACTGATTTTGGTTTATCTAAAATTGAAGTTAATAGAGGTAACATAGTTATTAATTATGTAACACAACATTTTTAACTTATAGAAATGGGTTTTATAATTGATGTTTATTTCTCTTCTCTCTCTTATCTTGCTTCTTCTTACATGTTTGATTTTATTGTAAACTAAGATGTATTAATTTTTTCAGACTTGGAGATATCTGACTTTGTTAACTGCACACCTAGCCTTAATATGAGGACTCCTGGTCAACTGTTATCACTGACTTCTCATTTATCATTTGGCTCTGGAGGTGGAGACAGCACACACAACTCTGTGATGTCTACTGATGCCTGTGAGAACCTTCTTGATGCGCTTAAAGAAACTAGTATGCTTTCATCACCAATATACAACTTCACATTCATTATATACTTCTAGTATAAACATTTTACATTTGTAGGTAAATTGAAAAGTTTATTTGAAGGAGTTAGTGGATTGGAGAGTTCACCTTTGTTAAACCAGTCACAAATGTCAGGGATACATCCATTTATGAGCGCAGAAAGTATTAATTTAGAAACTGTAAGTTACTTAACTTATAAAGTATAAAGATCTGTTATACATATTTTAACGCATCCAGTGCCCCCGACGCGTATGTGCGTTTCCTTACGCTACTCTGTGTGCCCTCGACGCACCTGTGCGTTCTATACATTAATGTATAGAACGCACAGGTGCGTCGAGGGCACATTACACATTTCATGATTAAAATATAATTATGGTGCAATTGCTTATACGTTACAATTGTTGCACATACAGAAGCTTGATCAGTCTTTGTCAAACAGCCCTTCAGCATAATGATTCTTTTAAAGTTTTTATAACATTGTTTAATTCATATTTTAGTCTGAAGACTCCAGTTCATACCACACATGTGAAAGTTCAAGGAACAGCTCAAACTCAAGGAGTAAGTCTACAGATCCGAGTAGCAATAGTTCAGTAGGAGAGTCTACAGTACTATCAGATTCCCAACATGACCAGTCCACCTCACCATTGTGTAGGGGACATTCCTTGAAGCGAATACCTAGGTAATTTACTTATTGCTTATTTTATTTTGCTAAAAAAAAACTTCATGATTAGTGTTGCAAAAATATGATTAAGATTTATGTTGATAATTTTCCCATTAGGTACTTGTTCATGATAATTATTGTAATGTTTCAGTACACTTAAAATTAATTAATAAAAATTTACAGTTTCAGAGCTAAAAAAAGGAAGAGGATACTGGATTGTGATGGGGACACCCCTACAGGTGTTACTAGCCTTCTAGAGTCTAAAGAGAATCACAGTGGACTCACACAAGAGATCATGGCACTGGAACTGAGCCAGAACACACCTAAACGCATGTCTATACATCCCACACCAGACAAACGGAAGAATCCTATCAAAGGTGTCTTAAAAAAACGGTTAGTGCATTTATAAATAAAATATGGCAGCAGTGATAAGTACTGCACCCCCCTATCATTAGTTTCTTGTTACTTACATACAAATTAGCATATATTGTTAATAATAAAAGTCTAGACTTTAAAGTTTATGCTAGCCTGGAGGTTTTGGCTCCTTCCTCTTGTACATAAAGGTGCTGGTTTGCAGTACCTGGCAAGTACCAATGCCACTATTCTGAAAAATATGTATTTTCCAACATTATTTAGATACCATTGACATAAGGCGCATGAAAACATTGTAAGAGTGAAAAACCAAAATAAGTTTGAAATCAAAAACCTTGAGTAGTGTGATTCATCATATCTTAAATCTTTTCTGTGTGAAAAGAGGCATTTGTTCAGTAGTGGGTACTTATAGCTTGTTGATGATGTTGATTTGATTTTAAAGCTAGACAAAGTAGAAAGGACTAAAACAAAGAGAAATGTCATAGTCAATGAATCAGATCTTATCAAAAAAATTAAGTCATTTTAAATAAATAACATTGTTTTTTACAGATGGGTCTCACAAAACGACAGCCATCATTTCAATGTGGGAGTTATATTTTCAACACCAGTAAATAACAAGTCCCCAGAAACTAAAAAGAAGGAGACTCGCTTCAATCTTCCTAAGGAGGAGCAACCTTCTGAGTCTAAGGAGAAGGCTTTTATGTTTGGAAAACACGTGTCGACTAGTTTAGAAATATTTCCTACTAGAAGATTAAGTAAGGTAATATAAACATCATTACAATATAAAGTGACATACTAAACATTCTTTGAAACCAGCCCTTTTCATACTTACCATCTACATCATACACTAAAGGTTGACTTTTTTGATATGGGGGCAAACAAGCTGTCTGATTTTCTGAAGGTAAGCACTCGGCGCCCTCCCCCCCCCCCCCCCATGTACACCAGCTACACCAGACTAGCCGCATGTGCGGGTCCTTTGGAGATAAGGGGTCTTGGCGGTTAGGGATTGGGGAGAGATGGGGCAGAGAAAAGATTAGGCCTGCAGTGTGCATTTCAGGTTGACAGGCAAACAATGCTGGCAGAATTTCGTCTATGTCTATGACTGTGTCTACATTTAAAGTTTTTTAAAATGTGAAAAGATACACAGTGGCACATCCTTTAAGCTCTGGTGGAAGAGTAGAGGTCATTTTTCATCACTTACATTATGATACCCTTATAAAGGCTTAAGTTTTACATCAGGCATAAATTATGACTTTGTACTATACAAGGTTTGGTATGAAAACCCAAATAAATCTCAACCGGGTGATTAATTATAACCACTTGCCCTTTTTTTGTCTGTGGTAAATCATCAAATGACTTCCTCCACCCAGGTGAGGCGAGACTCTTACTAACTAAAAACCCCCCCGTTCTCCTGCTCTGGACTCTGGAGCGTGCCTGTTTGCGCTTGCCCCGTAACATGCCTCCTTGCGCTTGCCCCGCAACCCCGGCTAAATATCAGCCCTTTTTGGTGGTCTAATGGGTCTCGCGGAACGCCACGCGCCGTACGCTTGGATTTGGTTCAGGTCGCAGACCCGCGATAACGGTGGCCGGAGATATTGTAATAGGGAGTTAGCTTAAGTTTTACATCAGGTACAAATTATTCCTTTAATGTACAGGGTATGGTATGAAAACACGAATAAACCTCAACCTGGCGATTAATCTACTTGCCCTGCAGTCGCATATGCATTCATAGCAAGTATTAAATAAAAAATGAAATGTTTTAGGGCGAAGGAAGTCGGTCACCTACAGATGCATGTAGGACACCATTAGCGACCGCTCATACGCCTTATAGGACACCCAAGAGCGTGAGGCGAGGAAACTTAGTCTCAGATCAAAGGATTCTAGGAACACCTGATTATTTGGCACCAGAGTTACTTTTAAGGTAAGACAAATAAGTTGTAGGTTTGACTTAGAGTAAATAAAAACTGTTTTAATATTTGATAAAAAAACAACCTTTAATTTTTTTGGGATCATCCAAATGTGGTATTCGGAAAAACTATTCTTCTGTAATTTTTTTGCACACCAATAAATCGTGTAAGGAGTCTTCCTTGTAGGTACAACTGTGCAGTTTATTATATGATTTATTTTTATAGACAGGGCCACGGTCCTCCAGTGGATTGGTGGGCGCTGGGAGTATGTCTATACGAGTTTATGACCGGCGTTCCTCCATTCAACGATGAAACACCACAGGCCGTTTTCAAAAATATACTGTCACGAAGTAAGTATATTTGCTTTAAACAATTAACTAAAAAGAAAGCATTCAAATCCTTAAAAAGGTGACGTACGGTCATGTAAATGAACCCACTTTCATGTCATCATGACCACTGTTTTCGCTAAGGGTCAATTCACACTGAGAAGCGACGATGCGTCAAAACGTGAAAGATTCATTCAAAAATTAACTTTATGTTTCTCACTTATAGTATCGCCTTATCGCGTCGCGTGGCGTCTCGGTGTGAATTAACCGTACTTTCAATTTCTTAAATAATAGGACTCATAGCTCAGCTAACGAACTTTACCAAATGCTGTAGCCTGTGATGTAGATCGCTGTTATTTAGCCAAGGAGAACAGAAGTAAATATATCACTAATATTACAGATATTGAATGGCCTGAAGACGATGAGGCCTTGTCTCCTGAAGCTGTGGGCGCCATCGAAGCACTGCTCACGATGGAGCCATCAGCGCGACCGGCCGCAGCCGCTGTACGTGCCATGCCGATATTCAGAAACATTGACTGGGACAACCAGCTCAATGTAGAACCCCCCTTTATTCCTACCCTGGATGATGTTCATGATACTGGCTATTTCCAAGGTACAATTTATATTTATAATTTTGAATTGAGTTTTATAGACTGTTTTATTTTGATATTACCATGAGTTGCTGATTGTTAGAAGTATCACTTCACATTTTTTTTATGTGATAGTACGGCAAACGAGCAGACGGATTACCTGATGGTAAGCAATCATGCCCATGGACACCGAGAGTTATGAGTGCGTTGCCGACTTAGGGATTGGGAGAGGAGAAGGATTGGGCCTCCGGTAACCCCACTCACACAGCGAAACAAAAAGGTGAGGTTTTTTCACGCCGGTTTTTTGCGAGGCCGTGGTATCACTCCGCCGGTCGAGCCGACCCATTCGTGTCGAAACATGGCTCTCCCACACTTTACATGAATCCAATTTTTTTATTGTAATAAATGTTGGTCTTTATAGACACAAGAGTCTATCTATATAACATATATATAACTATATATCTATATAACAGAAATCTATAAAGAAGTGTCTTTAAACTGCGATAGTTAAACAATTTCTTTTATTATGACTATATATCTAAATCAGGCATAAATTATTTTTGTTTTAAACAACATGAATGAAATGAAACCTGTTTTTTTAAAACTTGTGAGTAAATTGAATTGATTCCAATGGTAAGTATCTATCTGATTAGAAACATTTAGTTTACGCGATTATATTACTGATGATTTATACCAAAAATTAAACTCTCTTATTATTTTATGATAAATACAAAACTGTGGGTGCATTTAAGGTTGCTAAACCTTCATGGATGTAAATGCCACATTAAGATTCCTTTGACTTTTGCATCCTAATGTTGTGAACTCTTTATTTTTGTTTCAGCTCGCAATATCCTGCAACAACTACACGTATCTAACTTTGACATGTAATATAAAGGTTTGTATATAATTAATATAAATTAATTTAATGTATTATTAGCCCATTAGCGGATAATGTGATATTTATGAAGAGTTAATGTGAGACCCATATTTCAACATTGTGATTATTATTGCTTTCCCTTACAATTATGTACTAACCAAAACTATGTATTTAAAGACTGATTTGAGAACTATATACCATTCATTATGTACTTTAAGTTATTTCCTTTAAATGTGATTATTATATTCGGTGTTTATCCTGTAATTAATGTTCCAACAATAAATAACAATATATTCGAAATATGGTAAATTTTATTTAATTTGGAATCATAAATTAAATTGGCACAATTTCCATAGATTGAAATTTTATTACAACTAATTAAGAAAAGCAAGCTCGTATGGTTGTTTTTCTCAAAACAGTTGTCCTTAAAAATTATTCATGGAATAATTGACAAACATTTTGTTTTATTTTGCGATTAGTAAGGACTTCGGGCTGTACGCAATTTATTGGGCATTCTTCTGAATCCAAGGCAGGAAGTAGGTGACGCGTGTGTACACGCCAGGGTACTGGCCTTTACCGCATCCGATGCCCCACGACACGATACCAACTTGCGTCCAACGACCGTTCTCGTTCACCATCAGAGGACCACCGCTGTCACCCTAGAGTGAAAATTTATATTAGAAAAGAGAAGGTCCTTAATAACAAAGTAGCTTTAAAAGAAAAACTTACACTGCAAGAGTCCATGCTAGCTTTCCCAGCACAAAGCATGTGGTCCACAATACCACCAGGGGCAGCTCCACCGTACTTCAACTTGCACTCCTGGTTAGACCAAACTGGAATCGACACCTCTTGCAGAACCGAAGGCTGAGGTCCACCTTCAGAAAAGTACTGTTAGTCACCAAGGCTGATACATTGAAATGTATGTGTAAATAAAAATGACCTGAATTATTTCCGTATGGTCGGTTAAGTATGCTAATATCTTTTGTCATAAACAATTTGGTGTATGATTCATTTTCTTTGACTTAAATATTTCACTTTTAACAATCGTAAATTGTGGTTGGTAGGCGCAAGGAGGGAATTACTATATTTTTGGTAACCATTACGCGTTATTCGAGACAGATATTATTAAAATTATTATGGAAATTCATCCACTATCTCTTTTCTTATAAAAGAAGTAGTAAATATGATCTTTATACATATTATTTTAAGGTCTAAATTATGCTTACTTTCTCGCAAACTTCCCCAACCGATGACTGTAGCGATTTTGCCTTGATATGTAGATCTACCGCCAACCGGCAAACAAATGGGTCGGACATACTTGTTAAATGTCACAGGCTGGTCAATGGTCAATACGGCGACATCATTGTACTGGAAATGGGGAACAAAATGTATATATAGGCATCATAATAGTGCTTCAATGGTGTTTTTTTATATAAAAATTGGATTCAGCCGATTGCCGAAGTCAACCACTAGTTTTTTCCGCGGAAAGGTGTACCTCCACCGACACACCGACAAATCCCATATAATATATACAATATACATATAATTATGTAGCAGCCAAATAGTGGAATTAGCCATTTATGAAAACGTGTCGTGTTGTTACCAGAATTGTAGATAAGGTTTGGTTAAAACTGTGAACCTCCAAACATCGAATCACCTAAAGCTAGCTGATTGTTCGAACGGTAATTTTACTAGTGGGCTGCGACATATTCATACAGTAAGTTCCCACTCTTCGCTCTTCGGGTACTTACATAATAAGCGGGATGGAATATCTTATACGGCTATTAGCTAGCATGTTTTTCTTTTATGCTTACCAAAGTACGCATATCAAACCCGCGATGTCTCACGACCCTCTTGATTTTCCTCTCAATGTGTTTAGTTTCGGTGTTAGTGCGGATGTTGTGGTCTCCAAGCCTGGCTGTAAGACGAGCCACATCCCAGGAGGTCATACTGAAAGTTGTTAATAATATTAATGATAGGTACCTAGGGTACTATAATATAAACATGGTGTTATTTGAGTAAGTAATTCTTTTTATTCTATTATTTCGTGAAATATAATGTCTTTCTGTTGGCCCTTTAGCGTTTCACATCTATAGAATAGGTTCATATGGAGAAAAACAAGTAAGATCGAATGATTTCTCTTTCAAGATTTTCAGATCCCTGATATTAATACTTACTGTGCTACACAGTGAGCTGCGGAAAGCACATGTCTGTCGTCTATGAGGGAACCGCCACAGAACTGTCGCCCAGCATTGAAGAGTGCTACAATCCACGGCCATTCGTTCAGGTCAGCATTATGGCCACCGACTATACGTTCCTCATCTTGATAGTTGCTGTCGTAAGTCTGTAATTTATTAAAGAATATGCTGAGAAATTATATCATGTAATTGTCAAATTATCATACAGATACTTATTATAGGTATTAAAGATGATCGTCGCCGTGAGGAAACCTACACTTTTTTTTGTATAATTGATAGGATGAAATCGTCAAGTCTTTGCTTATCAATAGGCGCATATTATCATGTGTTTAGACGAGTACGGACTTCAGCCGCTTTATTTAGAACACATTTTTGTAAAGTCTAAATCGACCTATGGCAAAATGAGTAGGTATCCATTAAGCCTTCCTGGACCTATTATTTGGTCTCACGCCTGGGCATCGTTTTTGTTTGAGTTTAGAATTTTAAAGACCAAAATTGATACCTTCTTCTTAGAATTATACCTGACATTAATCGGTTCTTAGCCTACATACATACATGAGATACTGTAAAAAGAGTTCTTTTAAAATGTCAGTTTTCGTACCTGAGCTCCGTTCTTTATTCCACAAGATCCGTCCACAGCAGGCTGAGAAGGTATAGGCTGTGCTGGCACACTTGGCTTAGTAGGGTATGCTGGGGCCCACGTCTGAGACATAAATAAATTTAAATTGACAAATATTAATGTTGCTCAAACCGTACAAAGCTAAACTTATGAAGCGTGGATAATTCACTCTTGACGCTAGCAATGCCCACGTTTAAATTAATAGTAATAAAAAATAATTGAAAACAGCCAGCAGTATGTTTGTAGTTAGAAAATACTACTTGTTTACCTGCTTAGTCGTGCTGGGAGGCCTAGTAGCCCAAGTTGTAGGTGCAGTAGGGAAGTTATTTGGTGGTTTCGTTACACCTGCAACTGTTGACAAACATTTAGACTCAGTGTCTACCTACTTCAATCAAGGTTAAAACTTTAGTAGTATTTATAAGCTCAAGCCCTTCTCATAATGCCTACGTACCCATCACGCTCAATATCATTAAGGTATAGGTAAATCCTTAGTGCTCTAAATCACTACATAGTATAAAACAAAGTAGCTCTCTTTCCTACATCCCTAAGTATGCTTCAATCTTACACATCGGAATTCTTCTCTCGAAGACAAGAGAAATGTAGCATCAACATTGCACCTAACTAGTATTCATGTAATAGAAACTAATTTATTAGGTAAGAGCACTATGATACCATCTTGCTTATTTTAGTATCCCTCCAAAGAGGGGACGTGATGAAGTATATTTTCCTAAAGTGCAGCTTCACCTTCAATCACAAGTACAAAATATAATGGACATTATTGACAACTTTCAATTTTTTTTTTAATATTAGGCACTTATTTTGCGTTACCTAAAGAAGGTGGATGTGTAGCCGCGGTGTGATCAGGCGGGTGGGTAGGCAAAGGAGGGATAGTTGGCGGCCATTGTGCAGGAATCTTCGGGAAGTTGCCGTCGTTGCCGTAGGACCATCTAGTCAATGCAGCATATCTGTTAAATATACGTGACTTCCAGGTAAGTAATTTTATTTATAAAGATTGGTGTAACATGTTGTTGGCATTGGTATGTTTTGTGTCAATCAGGAATTAACTAACTAATATCTGCTCACTAGATGACGCTAATGTCGCTAATGGAGTATGAGGTCCTATTGATCAAGTTAGGAATTGACTACTCAATTAAAATATCCAATTCTGTGGTGTACAGGTAATCTTACCCTGGCAAATATTGTAGTGGGACGGCAGGCTGTAGGTACCCGAACCTCTGCACATCAGGCACCTGCTGTGGTGGTGTTTCCACTGGGTCGGTACAGCATACTCCGTGTACCTGGCCAATTGAACATCTACTGTTATCGGGATTAATCGGTAAGTTAACTACAAGATGCCTATAATACTCGTATTAGTTTCTTTTAGTGTGTTTATAAGATAGTCATTTTTGTCTATAGTAGGTAAGTGCCTATTGCATTACCTACCTACTTACTTAAATTGAAGTTCTAGGAGTAGTTTTACTTATGTTATTTTAAAATTAGTTAAGAATTGCCTACACCTAGACATCATGATGCATGACAGGTTCTGACAAGGGAATAGGTTTTTAATAAGTAAGTATTAAGTTAATACCATACCTCCTTATTTTCTTCATTGATAAATTTGCAATTGTCATAATGACCCATAACCCACCCGTCCCCTTTAGAAAAGTCAGATACTTTGAGCAAAGGGTAGCATTGGTTGAAAGTCTTGCATGATCCCTTCTTCCCAAGAGTCGTTATGCAGCCCCTTCCATTGCCTCGTTCGGCCTAGTAAAGGATGAAAGCTGGTTATTTCCCGCCTTTTTTAGTAAATTAGCAGTGTTAAATACTTAGAATTAGGAAGTGTTGAAAGCGAGTTTTTTTTCAAGCGTTTAGTCTTCTGATTCCTTGGTCAACTTGTAGTGCCTAGGTCAAAACATATAACTAACGCGGGAATTAACGCGAAAAATAATTATTTAAATACCTTGGTAGGCTTGACGTTTCGACCTGTGGTTAAATAATTATTTTTCGCGCGAATACTCGCGTAACTATAAGTTGTATGTAAATATGAAACGCGAAAGTTTAAAAGTTAGTTTAGTACCTATTATAGGTCAGTCAGAGAGCCGACCGTCATAATCGTAAAGCAAATTAGCACTAGACACTCTGAAAGCAAAATTGCATAATAAAGTTGTAGCTAAGTATTGTTTTCCCAACACAAGTTTTATTTGAAAAATAACCACCCGACCACCTCGCTTTCGCCAGTATACTATTTAACGAGGATCCGGTGAATATGTGGAACTTTATAGAAAAATTATAATCAATTTTAGAGTTATATGCTCCTATTCTATATATACATTTCAGTTTTACCTACAGTTGTATTAGATACACCTATCTGTTAAAGGTGTTTGACACATTATCACGGTTTTTAAGTGTTTAGAGGTAAATACCTGTCTGAGTTGCAACAACAGTAATTGTCTTCCATCACGGGTTGAGTTGAACACGTCACGTTTCAAGCGTTTCGCTGGGGCTGAAAATAAAAATAGTCTAGTTAATAATAAATGTTTTAATAAATAAGCAATTTTGCTTTATGGTCAATGGTTAATCCGGCCCCCTATCAATATCTATAGGTAGGTACTTCTATACTATTTATATCTATACTTAATATAGGTATTATAAAGAGATAAAATTTGTAAGTTTGTATGTAGGGGGTGTAGCGGCACTATCACGTCGCTACATTACTTAGATACGATAGAGATAAGACATACATGTTAATTGTTGCACGTTTGTTAGGATAGCTAAATCTGAAAATCTCACGCATCTTCTTAGTATATAAGCACCAGCAATTAAAGTAATAAACAGACCTTAACCATCTACAGTCTCATTATTTACCTTGCCACGAAGTCTGGCAAATTGGTGACCCGACGAAGAACAATCAACATGACTCATTCACCCTGCAAATCAAGCAGCAGCCAACAAGAAGCCTTGGAGATATCAGCCGGAACCGCCATTTTATCCCGTATTCCGGAATTTTGGAGGGACCAACCCAGATTATGGTTTAAGCAACTAGAAGCCATAGTAGCACCACAGAAGCAAGGAGACGATTACAAGTACTATACGGTCATTGCAAAACTGCCAAAAGAAGAAATAATACAGGTTAGTGACCTCATTACTTGCCCACCGCCAATAGAAAAGTACAAGGCTATCAAAGAACGCCTAATCAGTTGCTATGAGGAATCAGACCAACGTCAGCTCCAAAAATTATTGTCTGAAATGGATCTCGGCGACCAGAAACCATCACATCTTCTGCGCAAGATGCGGACCCTGAGTAACGGAAATATCAGCGACGAAACCATCAAACTTCTATGGTTGAGGCTTCTGCCACCATCAGTGACTTCGGTTCTAGCAGTCACAGAAGACATAGATGTGAACAAGATGAGCCAGATCGCGGACAAGATATTAATAAATTCAACACGTACAGAGGTGTCAGCTGTAAACGGAAACAAATCTGGCGACGATACAATGTCATGCATACTAGCACAGTTAGCAGAAATGCAATTGGAACTAAATGCAATTCAGCAAGGTCAAAAAAACTATCGACGCAGCACTCAAAGTTATTCCAATCGTCGGCATTTCCTACCACAGTCAAGTTCAAGAGAAAGAAGGCACTTTTGTTTTTACCATGGAAGATTTAAAAAATATGCACAAAAGTGTGTTCAACCTTGTGATTGGAAACAGGATCTCAACTCAAGGAAACAGGGAAACTAATTGAAGCACGGACAACGGCGGAACTCTGTGCTATTCACCCGTCCAACCGCCTCACTATTACCGACCGAAAAAGTGGTATGAGATTTTTGATTGACACGGGAGCAAATATTTCAGTTATTAGCAAGCCACAGAGACATTCACTAATACAAGATGAACAATGTATACTTTATGCCGCCAATGGTACAAAAATTAAGACATATGGTGAAAAAACACTCTCTTTAAACTTCGGGCTACGAAGAAACTTTGTATGGAACTTTGTCATCGCCGATGTAACACAACCGATTATTGGAGCAGATTTTTTAGAGCATTATAAGCTATTAGTCGATATAGCTGGTCGAAAACTCATAGATAGGGTAACTGAGCTGACAACGCCCGCAACCCTGATCAAATCGACGCAGCAAACAATCCGCACTATTAACATTGAGACGAATCCACGCATTACTCAACTATTAAATGAATACGAGGATATTACGAAACCAGCCTCCCTCCACACTACTCCAAAACACAAGATTAAGCATCATATTATCACTAAAGGACCACCGGTATCAGCACGTGCAAGACCATTACCTCCTGATAAATATCATATAGCAAAGAAAGAATTTCAGACTATGATGGAGCTTGGCATTTGTCGCCCTTCGGACAGCCCATGGGCTAGTCCTTTGCACATGGTTAAGAAAAAGAACGGTGAATGGAGACCATGTGGAGATTATAGAATGCTCAATAGCGTGACTGTACCGGACAAATATCCACTTCCACGACTAACTGATTTCACTTACATACTAGAAGGGAAGCAAATCTTTTCCAAAATTGATATTCGAAAGGCGTACCACTGCATTCCTGTAGAAAATGTGGAAAAAACTGCTATTATCACTCCTTTTGGACTTTTCGAATTTCCAAAAATGCCTTTCGGTTTACGTAATGCGGCGCAAACATTCCAACGATTCATGGACTCGCTATTCAGGGATTTGGATTTCGTATTCATATTCGTCGACGATTGTCTTATAGCATCTGAAAACGAGGCTCTACATTATCAACATTTGGATACGGTTTTCAAACGTTTACATGAAAATGGATTAACAATTAATCTCGAAAAATGTGACTTTCTTAAGAGTGAAATAGATTTTCTGGGTTATCATACAACACGTCGAGGAATACGACCAACGGAGGAAAAGTACAAAGCAATTATGGAATTTCCTAAACCTACGACAATCAAGGAGCTAAGAAGATTTTTAGGAATGATCAACTTTTACAGAAACAATCTCCCTCATGCCGCTGAATATCAAACTATCTTAAACAACTACCTGCACGACTCTAAAAAGAATGATAATTCTCCAATTTCTTGGACAACAGAGGCCGAAAAAGCTTTTGATAAACGCAAGAAAATTAAACAAACAGTTTTCATTCACCCCGAGCTCAACAAATGCTCACATGTATTCGTGCGCTGTGACAGAATAAGGAAAAGTTTAACACCACCATACGAAGGACCATTTCTAGTGACAAAGAGGATAGATAAGACGTTTATCATTAAAATTGGGGACAATGAAAAAGCAATATCTATAGACCGATTAAAACCTGCATTTGTCTTCAATAGTGGAACGAACGTGCCAAATTCAGAAAATAATCACAACGGGCGGAACACGTACATCACGAAGTCAGGACGGGCGGTTAAGCCGACAGTACGATTCGTCACTTGCTGACACAAGTAATCAGTCCATTTAAATACTCACCGTATTTTGAAAATACCATCATATACCGTCAGTATCTACGAGAGAACAATGGGCAACCAAAGCTCCAAAGATCAAATCGTATATAACTCCGACAGTTGCCTTAATCAAAATGAAGCCGACCATCTCAAAAGTCTTGTCCTGGAAGAGCTACGGTGGACGAGAAACATTGCAATTGGACAAATCCTCATCACAATTGGCATCCTTCTTCTCTACGGAATACTGAAGACCTTAGACAGTCAAACATTTTCAAAGGTTAGTCGAAGGAAGAGAATTTACTATCTTTACAGATCATCGACCTTTGACTTACGCATTTTCCCAAAAACCGTCATCTAATGATACGCCACGGCGAATACGACAACTGGATTTTATTTCACAATATTGTACCAACATTCAACATATAGAAGGACGTGACAATATTGTAGCAGACGCATTGTCACGGATAGAACAAATTGATGTGCCATCACCGATTAATTATGCTGATTTAGCAAGATGTCAGCATGATGACCAAGAATTATTACGACTTCGTAATAACAAGAATTTAAAATTTTCAAATATCAAGGTTCCGGGTTCTACTGAAGTCATCGCCTGTGACATATCTACAGGAAAAAATCGCCCCTATTTACCAGAAAAATTTCGGAGACAAATTTTTAATGTCATGCATGGACTGAGTCATCCTGGGAAGAGAGCTACTAGGAAAATGATAACTCAAAGATATTTATGGACAAGTATGAATAAAGATATAAATGAATGGTGTAAATCGTGCCTAGCTTGTCAAAAATCAAAAGTGCAACGCCACACTATATCACCTGTCGGGAACTTTATGCCATCTCAACGTTTTGAACATCTACACATCGATATTGTTGGACCGTTACCTGTTTCTCAAGGAAAGCGATATTTAATTACAATGATAGATCGTTGTACTTCTTGGCCGGAAGTATTTCCCGTTAAAGATATCACAGCCGAAACAGTAGCGCGCATACTGTATGAGGGATGGATAGCAAGATTCGGATGCCCATTACGCATTACTACGGATCAAGGTCGACAATTTGAATCAAGAATATTTGAATCACTTTCACAATTTTTAGGAGTACACAAAATTAGAACAACGCCTTATCACCCACAATCAAATGGAATGATAGAGAGATTTCATAGAACTTTAAAAGCGGCGCTAATATCAAGAGAATCTAATGCTAATTGGATGAACGAAATTGCTTCAGTTCTACTTGGATTACGAAGTTGTGTACGCGAGGACACAGGATATAGTGCAGCAGAGATGATATATGGCGCACCTATAAGGCTTCCCGGAGAATTTTTTGAATCGTCACAGCCTTCGACATACGAAGAATTTGTCACAAATATACAAAAGGACATTTCTCGTATGACATCAACATCAAAACGCAAGAAAATTAAACAAACAGTTTTCATTCACCCCGAGCTCAACAAATGCTCACATGTATTCGTGCGCTGTGACAGAATAAGGAAAAGTTTAACACCACCATACGAAGGACCATTTCTAGTGACAAAGAGGATAGATAAGACGTTTATCATTAAAATTGGGGACAATGAAAAAGCAATATCTATAGACCGATTAAAACCTGCATTTGTCTTCAATAGTGGAACGAACGTGCCAAATTCAGAAAATAATCACAACGGGCGGAACACGTACATCACGAAGTCAGGACGGGCGGTTAAGCCGACAGTACGATTCGTCACTTGCTGACACAAGTAATCAGTCCATTTAAATACTCACCGTATTTTGAAAATACCATCATATACCGTCAGTATCTACGAGAGAACAATGGGCAACCAAAGCTCCAAAGATCAAATCGTATATAACTCCGACAGTTGCCTTAATCAAAATGAAGCCGACCATCTCAAAAGTCTTGTCCTGGAAGAGCTACGGTGGACGAGAAACATTGCAATTGGACAAATCCTCATCACAATTGGCATCCTTCTTCTCTACGGAATACTGAAGACCTTAGACAGAAGAGTGAAAACAATAGCAAGAAACAATCAGCACAAATGCAGTGGATAGTTCATCGACTGCCGCCGCCGTCACAACAAAGGCAGCAGTTTTTATTTCCTTCGAATTAGCAACAATGACATTACATTACGCATAGGATGTAATTTATCAGCAAGGTTAAGTTATTATATAATTAGGTACATACTAATTTTTTTCAATTTATATGTTAATTATTTTTAAAAGGGGGGAGTATATGTAGCGGCACTATCACGTCGCTACATTACTTAGATACGATAGAGATAAGACATACATGTTAATTGTTGCACGTTTGTTAGGATAGCTAAATCTGAAAATCTCACGCATCTTCTTAGTATATAAGCACCAGCAATTAAAGTAATAAACAGACCTTAACCATCTACAGTCTCATTATTTACCTTGCCACGAAGTCTGGCAAAGGGGTAATCTGGTTGGATTGCCAAAATTCTTTCACTGTGATCCTTATTGCTATAAGCTATAAAACATCACACTGCGATCAAATGGAGCCGAGTAGCGTGTGAAACCGCGCGAGAGTAGCTAGTAATTAATGATTGTTAAAGCCATTCCTAGCATTCCCGATTCTTAAACAAACATCCATTCTAAGTTGTTTAGCGTTTTTATGCAAAATGTATTGAAAATAACGACTTAGTACCGTGAATTAACTCTACCTACTAGTTTCAAGTCGCAACGGGGCTCTTATTCATGAGCGGCGTGCGCGTCATGACGACGTCGCCCAGCCGACCATTTAGTACATACTACTAGCGATACTACTACTCACGATACGTACTAGCTTTTGCCGGCGACTTCGTCCTCGTTTTATTTGTTTTTCGTATAAAAGTAGCATATTCCTACTGTATGTATGTAATAATAATCTCAAATAGAAACACGTTATTAGGAAATATACTCTACCATGTTCTTTGAAAATACCTGACTGGCCATAATAAAATTAAAAACACTTCATTGCTTATAATCGTAGGTATAATACGACGGAAGTTCCTTAAACAAAAGGGATTTTGCAAAATTATTTGTGTGTAATAATTAGTTTGGTATATGTGAATTAAGAGAAAAAAGGAGTAACTTCTCCCGTTTTCTCAACATTACCGTTTACTGCTCTGCTCCTATTAATTGAAGCCTGAGGAAAAGTATCCTTATAACCTGTCTAGGAACATGAAGAATAATTGTACCGATATTTTCGTTAAAATCTGTCGAGTAGTTTTTGTTTCTATAAGGAACATACAGACAGACAGACAGACAAAAATTTTACAGATAATATGGTACATTTTTGATATCAGTATCGATCACTAATCACTCACTGATAGTTATTTTGAAAATATATTCAATGTAGATACAGAATTGACCTCTCTACAGATTTATTATAAGTACTAGCATTTGCCAGCAACTTTGTTCGCGTGGAATAGTGAATACCTGCAGTTTTTTGTTTTAAAAACTATCCTATGTCCTTTCTCGAGTTCCAAACTTTGCCTTCAGTTTGAAATTTTACACAAATAGGTTGAGTAGTTTAGGCATAAAGAAAAGACAGACAGGCAGACAGACATAGCTACTTTCGCATTTATAATATTAGTTTGGATAGATTTAAAAATGGTTTTGTATGCTAGGTTTCAATTGGCAACAAAAATGAACTAGAAATATGATTAAAGGTGAGAAACACTTAAGATGGCGTGTCTAATCAATTTAAAAAATATATTTATTGCATATATTAATAATTGAATTCAAACTTCTTTGATATAAATGACGAAATCGTTGCACCGTGAACGGCATTCCTTGTAATCGATTACTGTATAAAAATAAATATTCAATCCCTTTTATGAAAACAAATCATTTCAATTTATTCGTATAATAAAATTAAAGAATGAAAAAAGTGATGGGACATTGAACCTGTCGCATAATGGCGGGCCAACTTTGTTATTTATGATTATCTACCGCCTAATATTACAAGGCAAATGTATAACGGTTGCTTCAATCTACGCCAATGAGCATGTACCGTATTAAGGTCTAAAAGTATAACTGGCATATGTTAATTATCATTTTTAAAACTTGTTTTGAGACGAGTACTCACTTTGATCATAAAGAATTGCTAATTAAGCCAGAGTCGCTTCAAGTTTATTGACGCAATGGACACTTGATACATTTTCATGTCAAAGTTATAATGATAATGCGTGAAGCTTTTAAAATCAAGTTGATATGATTGGACATGCAAATATCAGAATTATAATTTTGGCAACTGTTTGATTTCGATCAATATCTTCAGTTAGAGTAAATGAACTTCGCTAGCGATTATCGCAAACATCGTGGAAATTATTATTCTAAAGGCGATCTTACAGCATAGTTCGAGTACAACTGCGTACGAAACGTGTCGTAAACATGCATGTTATTTATTTCGGATTGCTGCATAACGGTTTCCGTTATATTCAAACCTCAGCATGGCATGTGCAGCATGCCAATAATACTACGACCTAAATATAAATACAACATTTTTGCAGAATTATGTCATTGCAAACATTTTAAAACCTTAGCAGAGTTCACATACAGAGGAGAATTACAAATAAATAAAAGTAAACTGGTCTGTACCTATTTTATGCGCATTTTGATGAAGAACTTCAACTACAATAGTACGGATAAATAACCGACCTTGACGATGATGGAACTGGACGTAGAATCAGACTTGAATTGCGACCGAGGGTTCTAAATAATTAAACTTGATTCTCTGAGCTCCTTTAATGAAAATATAGGTACGCAACGACCTTTAAAGGTTCCTGGATTTAAAATGAAAAAACCGATTCGTGACCATTGCAACAGTCAAAAATCAGCTTTATAGTGCAACAGGGAGGGAACATTTTTCACTGGTAGATAGCACTGCAATTTTATTTAAATAGCATGCAGTGGTATGCCAGCAGACACGACACCTTGAACTTGATACCAATAACAAGTATCTACATCATTTAATTTTCCTGTCGGGTGAGATAGTTGAGTCTTGAAAGGATAATGGAAACAAACGTTCCCTGCGGTACACACATGAAACGTAGTTGGCATAATTTAAATACAACGTAGGTATACCTAAATCAGACAAAGGATTTTTTACGTCCCTACATTGTCACGACAGTAAACAAGCCTGTTTGGCGACGCGCATACATATCTAATAACATTTGTGTCTGGATTCCGGGTTCAGCTATCAATCGCGAGGAAATGTCAGAAGCGTCATCCAGCTTCAATCGCCAGTCTCCGATCTAATTAATGTCCTCGAAGTGACTCACAAAAAGTTTGAACAATTTAAGTCGTGCTTTGGACAATGATGTGATTGATGTGATCGACTTGCGATGTGTGGGCGTATGACAATTTGCATTGAATTGATCCCATAGGTATTTCCGAATAATAGCCCACGTGTTCTTAGTACAAACTCAATTACAGGTTGATGACCATCGTTTTCATCAAGTTTAGTACACTTTAAATCGTTATAAAACTACTTTAGTTTAATTTTAGTAGGTTCTCAACATAATACAATGGTATTTTTTGAAGGCGAATAGCTTGAAAAAGTTAGATGTTTTGCCAGTTTTACAGGTACCTATATACGTTTTGTTTTGTTTACGTCAACAAATTGCAATGAGCTATTTGCTTATGATGCATTATTCCAGGAATTACATTTCTACGCATTTTAAACAAAACTTTAAGTAACCAAAAAACTAATTCGTTTTTACAAATTGTTGTATTTGGACATAAATTTCTCATTGTCGAATTTTAACTTTCTCTAGCCTCAAAACCCCATACCCTCATGTGCCGTCCATTGTTTTGAGTCCTCGCAATACAAATAGGTACTGGAAGTTACACTCATTCTTTGAATAAGCCATACGTGAGTACTGAGTAAACCTTTATGTTACGGTTAAAGCGTAAGTTCATATACACAATAACAATAATACACATCAATAAAGAAGTAAGTTAAAAAGAAGTTGTAAAATTATGATTAATATTTTATGATAAGACGTTAAAAATATTTAAATCGTTAGTTGTTTATTAAATTAATTTGGTGCCATTTTGGCTACGCAGCTTTTTGGTGTCCTAGTTTTCAGGGTTAATATAGTTTTCTGTAAAACAGTACATTTAAATATTAATTTAAACTAGAAATCATCACTGTTGCAAAGCATATGACATTTCTGTTTACTTTTTTAGGGGGTAAAACATTACTGTGTAAATCCTAGTAAGTAAATATTTATTATTTGGTTATGGTCAATACTTGAAAGACTGCTTACCAATTAAAATAACCGCATCGTCGGTGTAGAAAGCACCATCATTAGAGGAGAATCCATTCGTTACGTCGAAGTCACTCCCGTACCCAAACGCTAAAAGTCCCACCCAAACAATTGCGAATTTACTCCTTATCAACATTTTATCGTTTTATAAGTACGACATTCACTCAGACTATATTGTACGGAAAGATTTTAAATTTAGTGCGCGTCGCGGGTGTGTCCAGCCCGCAAGGAGTCGCTTCGCAAAATGCTCCGGGCTCTTGACTTCGCGCCTTTATAATATTTTTGCACTGACGCTCTACATTAGGTTGAAACGATAACAGCTTTTTCTCCTTTTGTACAGGACTGACATTTGCTGTTCAAAACAGTGAGCTTTATAAAATATGACAGCCAATTCGTTTGGAATGCCCGAAATGGATTTCTCGATTGATGGTGTTTATTTTTCTGCATCATCACCGCCATCATATGCGGCATGGCCTAACATAACACTATATAGGTATATGCAAGATCAATGAACCTAAACTAAGTACCTAAGTTATTTTGGCAACACAAAGAGACAAATACATTAAAGTTTATTATAGTTATTACATCAAGAAATTTAATCGAGTTAAAAATAATTTTACTTAATCGCTGTGTTGGCTCCTTGAATGTTTCAAGAGTCCCATTACCATATATTTCAAAAGCAATAAAGGGTAAATTAAAACGTGAAAACGAAAATGATTTTATAAAGGCAAAAAAGGTTGTAATTCAGTAATATAGTTTTATTTAGGTAGACAGGGCGGTACTCCCTAAAATTGGAGTTAAAAGGTTCGCCGCCAAAATTGTTATCCCATACTTTAATTTAGTAACATAATGACCCTTTGATGACTAATATTTAGCTTACTCTTTTTTGAATCAAACCAAATAAACGACGCAATAGACGCTAATCCTTTGACAAGGATCCTAAAAAACGATAATGGAACTCACCAACCCTTATTACATTTGATATGATTTTTCCTGTTTATATCGTCACGATTTTGATGTATGTGATCCGATAATCCCACCTAACTAAATGCCTATGTATGTAAGTGCTAAAACCACAACAGGCACTCAGCATAATGTCACTGACCTTTACAAAACGAAGGAGCACTTTAAAATCGTCAATCGTGTCAACAAATTGCTTACTGTAGGCAATTTATGTTCTTTGGTGCACACTTTGACAGGCGATTTGCATTCGATTCTAAAAACAGTAAAATTATTATTTTTGACGATTTTTCAACACGTTTAGGATATTGATCATTGATCACTCATTCCAAATTCATTATCTAAACTTATTTGAATAACTATCGTCAATGTGTGACACGATTTTTTATCGATCTACATATTGTATCGAGTCAAAAAGATGGGGCTCTTAATAATATGTCATCTTTGATACTTAGAAGTAAGACAATAAAAAAGGTTTAAAATTTTCTATTTCCGCTGTACCTACTATTTTAGTTTAAAAAGTATTTTTCCCATTCTATGCTATGAGTATCTATCTGTTACTCTCTCTCGCCCCACCGAACCCACCACATATGGCGGGAGAAGAAATTAGATGTCAATTTTCCCTCAAAAAACACTAATAGGAATCATCACACTTTTAATGAGAATTGTTAACATTTTATGAGATCACGGAACAAGATCAGCATATCGATAAAAGTACGAGCTGACGCCTCGAACAAACAGATTGATTAGATTGAAGCGTGTAAGATATTAGCGTCATTAATCTTTAAATGTCCCGTTATGTCAATGTCTTAGATCAGTATCTTTGTGCTGTGCAAAAATGTAATACGGCCTGGCACAACTTACATTCACATTTAATACAATGTCCATATTTGAGCTTCGTGGACACGACTTTTACGCTTTCCGACGCATAAAAGCAAATAATTAGGGTATACCTACAGAATTGTGTTTACTCATACCACGTAAAGAGAGGCGTTGACTTGATCCGTTTACAAATAATATTGCTCTTCTCACAATATTTGGAACGTGAAGTAGGTACTTTTTTAAACAATATTGGTTCCAAGACCTAGTTAGATATGAATCATTCGCCTGGACAAGAATATTGATATTTGAAATATTTCGTACCACGCTGGAATGAAGATTATGAGTAATGGTGTGGGTACTTTAATTGTGAATGGGATTGATAGTTCTGCTAGGAGGACGTTTACAGCTACAAAATCATTACAGTGCGAGTTAGCGACTTGGCGTCTTACCTTTGTGCCTTTTGTGATTCGGACAAGTCAACAACATCTAAACGCTTGGCAAATATTTGTGGTCTGTACACATGCACATTCATACATGTATTGTCATTCTCATGAAGTTCATTCCCTGTTCCAAATATTAACATGGACGTCTCGGTTCAAACTTTATTATCCTAGTTCCAACGATGAAATGACAAAAACTTCAATCGGCATTATACATATGTAGAACTATAATTATGTAAGTATTTTTAATCTATTTAATTTTAATTAATATAAATGAATTTTTTATAGTTCAATTTAAATGTTTGTTTCTTCTATGTAATTAAGATTTTAATTCTTTGTAATCAATTTAGCTTTAATTTAACTTTTCTGTTGCATTATTTCTTGATTATTTTTTCATCTTTTTTTTATGTATGTTCACCGATTACTCGAAGACGCCTGGACCGATTTGGAATTTTTTTTTGTTCAGTAAGGTATGATTTCTAGGGGGTCCCATATTCACCAGGTCAGGATCTGATGATGGAACCCCAGGAAAATCGAGGGGAACTTTCAAATTTTATAGGGGCAGTCGGCATGATTCATATATTTTCCAAAGTTATTTAGGTATTTACGTCAACTTGCCGATGGTTGAACTCGACCTGATGATGAATCCGGAAGACAGTCGAGGGATCTCCTTGACTATTTGGAGTAATTGCCTTGTGTTTGGCCTTGCATAATTTGTATTGGTGAGCACTTTGCACCAAGGTGGTCGTGACCGTCATTAAGCGTCTGATGATGAGAACGAAGGACAGCTCAGAAGAATTCCTGTACGGTTTACAGTAACTAACTTGTGTTTGGACTTAATTCATTTATATCGATGAAAACCTCGCACCTATGTGAGTTACAATGAAGTTATGTAGTAAATCTGATGATAGAGCCGGGAAATCGTCGTGAGATCTCTTTGACTATTTGGAGTAATTATGTTGTGTTTGAACTTAATTCATTTATATTGATGAGAACTTTGCACCTATATGGATTATGTATATGGAAGGTCTGCAGTATACCTGATGATGGAGCAGTAAACACTGACTAACTCAGGACTACCATTACCGTGATTTTCGGTCTCAAGTAGCCGTCGTCTTATTATTCGAAAAACATTATCCTTGCTTGCTCTGCCTAGCACTGAAAAAAAAACAAACCCACTTCAAAAAGTAAACTAAAAAGCAAAAACTAAACTTTCTTTGTACAAAATAACATATGTTTTCTTTTAGGTAAATAGAAAATAATATAATTAACCATTTTTTTTAATTTTAAAGTCGGTGCGGTAAAAATATTATTAATACCCGCGCATAATATTATGCATGCTGTGTGCTTCTCTACAAGTGATGGGGCATTTAGAATTTTATTAAGTTTGAGTTGTACAAATTATATAGTATCGTACTCATTGTTGAGAAGCCTATAATAAATAAAGCAAAAAAAAAACTATCGTATTTTTCTAGCGATTACCGAGCTAGGAATGTGAATGTGATAAATAGATGACGACTCCTCAGTTACTAATGAAGGCTGTAACGATGGAGTTTCTTGCTCGTTCTTCTCCATTCGAAACTACAATTTGGAATGAGCACCTAGCTTCACTGACGAACAGACTGACAGACTACTATTCTATTTTGACGTTTCAAAAGTACCTATTTATGGTTTAGTTGGAATAAATGATTTTGATTTGACTTGCCCCGCAAGGGTAAAAAATAACGATAAAAATTAAGAAGCGGCCAAGTGCAAGTTGGAGAGTCGGATTCGCCTATAAAAGGTTCTCTCTAAAATAATTTTACGATTTATAACGTAGGTATCTACAAAAAAACTTCTGATGAGATTTCGATGGAGGTTCTCACCTATATATTTTTAATTTTATCATACTCTTACTTTAGAAGTGATGATGAAGGGTGAGGTAGGTTAGGAGTACCATTAATTCTAAGCATGAGGAACTTCCAAAATAAATTGCCGCTGTGTGATATGGATGGACAGACAGGCAGACATACATGACAAACTCATAAGAGTGAACTTTTCTTGATATTTTGCTACGGGGAACCCTAGAAAAGTCCTTACTTATAAAAGTCGCAGGAAATTAACAGGGTTTTGTTCTAAATAAATATCTAGATCTGGCTTTTAACCGAATTGTTCAGAACTACTTATTGAGTAGTTGAAGTTAAAAATACTTTAATCTTCGTACGATAAAATATATCGGTGTGTAGTATCAGCTATTAATTAACTGAAGCCCTCTTTTTACAACCTACTAAGAGAATCCATACCTACTATAAATAACATTTACTACAGCCTCAAGATCAGAATGCACTTGCAATAAATTCCAAATGTCAAGAGGTCGTCAACTTCTTCAATAATAAGGATAAAATAATCGTTTACAATCAATCAGTCTAATGAATAATTATAACAGCATTATATGTGGAACGCATCTTATTTCACCCAATGGTTCCAATAATTTATTTGCTGTGAAAATACACCGTTATATTAAATTACTAACATTTAGACTATTATGCTCCATATAAAGACGAAGTTGGATTTATTATAAAACATCTTCCTACCTTTATAGTTTAACGCATATTAAATAAAATATTAGAAAACACGTTTTGATGCCTAATTTATTCCGTTTTTCCTATTTTGATCCGGATGATTTATGTGTTTGTTTTACGGCCGAAATAATAAATTTGTTTTGGTCTTTTTTTTGGTTTTGATCTTTTTTTACGTTGCCCCTAACTAGGATTTTCCTGTGTCAGGAGTGCGTTTACAAACATACAATACACTCAGATCCGGAACAACAATTTGCGGATCACACAAAAGTTGTTCCGGACAGGAATCTAACCCTCGACACGTTGCGCGGCAGTCAGTGCTCAGCCACCGCGCCAACCGTGCAATCGTTCTTAAAGTTTATTTTGGGCAGCCAACAGATGTAACGCTACATTAATTAAGGATATATGTACATACAGATCTAATAACAAGCGTCCACGGGCAGCCATAGTATATGGAGCACAGGCATTACGATAGAGTAGAATCTAACTTACGATTTTCCACGAAAATAAACTGATGAACCTATCAACTGAAAGTGAATACTATTTTCTCAAATTTCTAACAACAAATTGATTCTCTTGGTAACGGATGAATTCACATAAGGCGACATTAAACCTAGATCAAGATCTATGAGAAATTCTCTTCTTTTTAGGACAGTAGTTTTGAGGTAGTTTGCCGAGGTATTATGATTTATTTTTATACCTACGTTTTATTCTATTTTCAAAGACTTGATTCTATGTGCTGTTGATGAAACTTTTTAACCACCAACGAAAGAGAGGTGTTATAAGTTTGGCTTGTCTGCCTGTCTGTGGCATCATAGCCGATTTCAATTTAGTTTTTTTTTTTGTATTACGGGGGAGTGTTTGATGAAAATTGATTGAGTCGATTAAAAGTTATGGGGGGTTAAAGTGGAGAAGAAAAACCGTTTGTTTGCAAATATGCTCAAGTGGTGTATCAAATAAAAAGTTATGACTTGTTCATCACAAAAAACAACAACTCCCATAAGTTTGACGTGTCTGTCTGTATTTTCTGTGTGTGTGTTTGTCATAGCTCTCGAACTCCCGAACGGATGAACCGATTACAATTAAGTTTTTTTCTATTAAAGGTTACTTATACATGTTTTGTTCTTAGACATGTTTGACGATAATAAAAAAAAAATAAAAAAATCCCGACAATAAAACTAAGATGGCATTAAAAAGTAAAAAAAAAACAACAAAAATACGTCGCGTTGGGGAACCGCTCCAAATATGAAGTAGTGTAAGACTGTATTAATTATTATTACTTATGTATTTCCAACGACTTGATTCCATGTGCTGATGATGAGAAACTCTTCCTGACTAAAAACGTCTATGTCGAACGACTATGTTGTCCTGGGGTTGCAATAGGTACATGGTTAGCTTCGCCCAGCACCCAGCAAACAGTCAGCGAGCTTTACCTATAGATGAACTTCGCACAGGAATTTTGGCATAGTTTTACTTAATACCTATTTTTTACACTTTAGGAGACCTAAAACATAAACTAAATAGAACGAAAATTACTTACGTGCGCCTGAAGTATCACACCTTAACTTTGCTCTGAAATGTTAAGAAGGCGCCAAGCCTAATAAAAATTTTGATGTTACTCTATTTATAAGTTACGAAATAGTTAAATACAATAACTTAAATATAAGAAATGGAATAATTTTGACATATAGCATACCATGTAAATATAGCGTATAGTTTATACGAAACATATCTACACTTACCCTTTCTCCTCGTATGGGTCAAAGGTTGAACAAATTGGTAAGATTTCAATCGCACGGTGTGTGAAAACGGACAAAACGAGAATAATTAACGACAATTATAACCAAACAAATGACAATATTTCTTATCTGAAATTTTTTATACAGGCTGTTAATCTAGGCCCGTGAGCTTCGATCTTATTTACGGAGTTTTGATCGAAACGCGTTAGTGACACCTCGTTTACCGATTTTTGATAAGTGGGTATATTTTTACCTCGTTTTTGCTTCTCCATAATCGATTGAACAGTTTGAAAACATTCGACTGTTCTTGAGATTTCACACACAGATAGTTTTATGCCGCTGTATATTATCTTCCGTAGCAACAGTCGCAGTGTATAATCTTAAGAATTAAAAATGTTTTGTGTAAAAATTTTATTTTATTAAAAATGACAAGGTTTTTTTGGACAACTCAAATTACCTACACATTTTAATGCGTTACGGTCCACGATCAATGTTTCTAATCTATCTAAGGAAAAGAGAGCAAAGGTGCCTTGGAATTTTGTACTAAAGATTTGAAACCTATGAACCCATTTTGAATGAAAACTCATATTACCTACGAGGTAATTGTAATAATTTATTGTTGTTTAGTATATTAAAGATTAGGTACTACATTGGGTTTGATTATAAGTAGTTCTGGTACCTACGACCTAATTTATTAGCATTCAAGTAAATGTAATCACAAGTAATATATATTCCTGTACATATTACCATAATATCCTGTATACATATAGGCATTAGATACAGAGTGTTCAAACATGAAACATCAATTAGCAATCTATCTTATACACAATTATATTTTTTTATCCGGATGATTTCTCATTAGTAGGTCTACAATCTGTAAGAATAAATTGGGGTAAAAAGTAACATAAATAATAATGTTTTACCCTCTAAAAAGTAACTGTGCTTGCCATTTACGAAATTCGGACCTGTAGTTCCTGGGATAAGCGCTAAAAACAATTAAACTCTTTTTTCCTAGATAATTAATTTTAGTAGGGATTTGGTGAATCTCTAGATCGAACCCTGTTTTTGACAGCCACCCAGTTCTACAATTCTTAATGTTAAAAAGATTTTAAATAGGTATTCATGTGTTCCTGTGGTACGTGGACATGTGTCCTCAGTACACAGTCCTACAGTCTTTAAGCATCACGTTGCATGCTTCTCAAAAAAATAAGAGTCCGATTGTGACTTGAAAATGTACTATAGAGATTTTCTCAGTTAATTAACGTGAGTATCTAGTAATCTTTACATACCTAGTATAAAACGAAGTCGCTTTCTCTGTCCCTATATACATATAACCTGTGTACCTATGCCTTTAAGTTTTTAAAACAACGCAACGGATTTTGATGCGATTTTTTAGTTAAGTTCTTAAAAGTTGCACCAAAATCTGTTGGGTTCGGATTGAGGGATTGAAAAGGAAGGTTTTATGTATAAGAATAGTGGGTCAATTCGTATATATGTATATCATCTATTAAATAGTGCAGAAATTTAGTTTTAGCATCGCCCCTTTGCGAAGCCCATAAATAATCACGTTGGAGTTATAGGTTAGGTTAGGTTAGGTAAGTCGAAATATACCTACAAATATTAGCTACATATAAAAATATAAAGTTTTTGAGTTTGTATGAAGCGGGCAACCTTTGGAACCGTTGCCTGGTCGGATTACAAAGATTCATGATAGATAGCTACTTACAATGTTATTTAGTGCCATAGGTAGGATATTATTATAAAACATCAAGTTACGATCAAAAAGAACCGAGCAGTGGGAGCAGAGGATATTCTTGCGCGGTTTCGCAAGAGTATCTTCTGTACCTACTATAAACGTAGATACCTATAGGTACTTTTAGGTGCTTAATTTAACAAGTTCTGCAAACCGAATATTGAAAACCTTGACACTAAGTAGGTAAGTACTGATATTCGTAAAGAAAATGCGTTAAACAGTTTTGTAAACTGACCTGTGTTGCCAGTGCAAGGTTGTTTGTAAACTAGCGTGCAAAGTATGGGGCCAGCCAGACTTCATGTGAACTCATGTTATTTTGTTTGTTTGAGCTACAAAACATCACGTTTCTTACGCTTTCTAAAAGAGAACCGGACCATTGAAAAAAAGCGTTCCTTCTTCTGTTATATCCGAGAAGCAGTCATAATATAAAGCCTCCTTGTGCATCGTATTGCTTATTTTGTGCAACCTACGTGCGTCGTGCAGACATTTTCCGTCAGATGGCATTACGTGAGCGTTGGGGCGCTGTTGAAGAAAGTTTTTCAAAGTTTTTGAGCATTTGAGCAAATATAGGATGATTGATATCTAAAGGATATGTAATAAAAAAAATCTTCAATTATAGTATAGACGTATGAATTACAATTATAATTACTACCCTGTTTTTACTGATTCTGTGTTAATACCTAAAACAATAAACAGTAGGCAAGAAGGTATACATATAATTTAGATTTTTAAAACAATTAGTACCTATGTTGGATTCGTCTACTTAATAAGAAATGTACCTTCTACCTACCTTCCACCTACACACTAAATATTCTGAGAATGAGAATTTCGTTATTTACAAAACATACTTATTTATTAAAAAATAATTACTTAACTTTGGAAAAAAAGCATAGAAAACGCTTTCTGTAATACGACTAATAGACATCTAGACTAACTTAAATACAAATAAAATATAGTGACAAAAAAGATTGACCTACATAAATATTCCCGTTTACCACGTTATTTTTTAATTTCCCTCATCATCATTATCTGTCATAGATCGTATCAATAGTTATTATGTAATGTTATAAAATCTTAAACTTGTTCTTCTTAATCATTTATGTATACATTAGCAAGCTATTATTATAAAATTAATAGAATATAGGTACAACAATATGTAGATTGAGTATTATTATATTATTACCTAACTTTATTATGTATTCACCAAACCAGTAGTGACATTGAAGGCTGCGCTTTATGCAATCTCTTGAACATACGGCGGGCGGAGCTGCGCGCGCGCACCATTCGACCGAAACTTACAAACGATGCCATAACATAGACCGCACTACTCGTGTCTCATCACTTATTTTTAATATTAAATTAAAATAAATTAAAATTAACTCAAAATGTTCGGTACAAAATCAGTTTTTAGTTTGTTTATGATTCTCAGTGTTTGTTACGGTGCCGTTGATATAAGTAAGTGTAACTTATATTTTGTATAATTATTTTTGATAAATTATTTATTATTCATTAATACTTAGCCTCAGATATGTATTTTTCGGTTCCATATATCTACGTAATTAGTTTTTTTTTATTTCATTTAATATTTATGAACTAATTTACAAATTATGTTATTTTTTTATTTTATGTGTTTCCGTATTGTGGCCATCATATTATAAGACTTGCCTTAATTATAAATAAGTACATCTTTGGTCCACTTCCTTGAGTTACCTACTGTGATGACTTTTCAAGATGATTATCATCAAATCAGCATTAATTGCTCCAACGCCACAGAGCTCCATAATTTGTGACTTTACTTCATTTTTAGTGTCATTATAGTTAACAACCGTTTAGCTTTTTGCGGTATACCTATTTCCACGTATTAACAGCATACAATTAACGTGGAAACTGAGGAAAAACAACTTAAACTAGCATTTATCACTGGAGCGTTTCCAATGGACTTTGTATACATTTATTAAATTAAAATAGATACTAAACAGTTTGGCTTCAATTAGATGCAAACTTGTTTATTTGATGGACTAATTTCTAAATCAAAGTATCACTAGAATTAAAATTAACATTTTTGCCGCAACTTCGTACTCTAGTCTAGGAAGGTGACGGGACAGTATATCTATCTATCTAATTATAATAAATCACAATGTGAAGCGGAATAAAAAAATAAGTAAAAAGGAACATGTATGCAGATAAACCGACGGAAGTACTTAAAGTGTATAATATAGTGATTTGATGCAAATTTTTACAACTAGCCAATTCAATGATCAGAATTTGACCTACCTAAACTAGAAACTGAATATAAGTTTACTCGACCCAGAAAACTAAGGACCTTGTGCTTTGCGGTCATGATCGTTTACAGAAATGAGTTGAATTCAATGCTAATCAATCTATAACTAATTATTTCAGAAAAATATTTAAAAGTATGCGACAGAAATGCAATAGACGCGAATGACTGTATGGCGGAGGCAGTGCGACAAGGCATTGCAACGATGATCAATGGCATAGAGGAGCTAGGAGTGCCACCCATAGACCCTTACTTGCAGAAGGAATTTCGTATGGAGTACAAGAATAATCAGGTATAACCACCACGCCATTTATCATATTTAATTAAGTATATCTTGACCCTTTTTACAACGTTAAAAACCTTAAATACCCAAAGGCATTTAAAATGGCACGAGAGCTGCAAAAACACTTTATGTCAACACAAAAAATGATTTTGATTTTACCTTAATTACGTTGATGCGAAGTAACATGTGTTTGCAACTGACATAGGTATTTTAGCATATTTTTGTGTTGATCTATCTTATTATTTATCTGATAACCAACCAAAGAAGCATTTTCGTTGCATATTCCTTTTGTAGAAACTATTCTCTAAGTCTTTATTCCTTTAGCCATTCTATGGCTTATAATTCATCGTCTTGCAAAAGGTTTTATACGATAAGGTCGAATGTCTAAGTGAAGACAATAATGTTGACATTGTTTACCTCGTGAGTAACCGGAACGTTTGTTACATGAGCAGACGTCTCCTCTACGTCGCATTAAAAATATTATGTTATGTTAGATAACATCTCTTCACGTTCCAGCCTTGTCTTGTTTTTTTACTTTTTATCCTGTGTGTTGTTGTTTTTATGCCACATAACAAGATACAGACATATTTTGTTTAATTGGCCATTCTCAAACAATTGCCAGCAGATAAGAATGCTATAAGATCAGCTGATTCAGCTTCTAATTATTAAGTACATTTGATTGAAATATATGATCAAATACTTCTCCTTGTGAGAAGATGTCTTTGCTCACCAGTGGGCACTTGTAGGCTGATGATGTGATGTGATGTGATGTGATGATTAAAATATTCGTTTTTTTTTAACTAAGTGTACCTAGCTCTTTTAATATACTTAAAGACCTCAAGACTATCCTTAATTGTAGATAGAAAAGCGTAAAATGTACAAGTCATGTAGCATTGTCGTGTATGTATTTAGTTACAATAAATATATTATCGCGTTTTGGTTCATTTCTTGTTATACCAGTTCTGACAGGTTGTAAACTTTACTTTCACTTCTGCCCTTTGAATGTTTGTATGGATAGTGCATAATAAGAAAAACAAAATGCTCAAAATCTCAAATAAAACTACCGTGAACTCCATCATAAATGAACTTACATATTATTTCCGTATTCTTTTGTCATATTTATAAAGCTTTCGAATTGAGACTTGAGACATGTAATCTCGATAAGGATTAGCAAACTGAAGTGGCAGTGAGCAGGTTACATTTGTCGAAGAACCGGTGACAGTAAGGGTAGACGTGTTCTAGAGTCTAGGCAAACGTAGTCTAGGGCGCCCTTCAGCTAGGCCAACTGACGATATCCGCTGAGTGGCTAGCAGTGGTTGGATGAGAAAAGCTGAAACTTGGGCTCAGTGGCGTGCAATTGGCGAGGACTATGTCCAGCAGTGAAGGGAATTAGGCTGATTATGATGATGATGATAATGAAATTAAATAAATTATTGACAGAATGCAAAAGAAGAGAATTAAACTAAGCTATACATTGCGTGTGTTAACGTGTCCTAGAAAGGAAAATCAGTACGTACTAGGCAGGAAATGGAAATTAAGATAATGACAATGTCTAATTTTTGGTACTCACGTCAATATAAAACATCATACAGGATATGCTAGGTCATATAAACCATTAAACAGAGACATTAGAAAAACTATAAAGTTAAGAACTTACTATATTATGAGTTTTATAGTTCCTTTAACTACTTGCCAAACCTATTTATATTTTCAGTGTGGTCTCGTTAAGTTATTGTTTTATTAAAACTGTTGTTGTTCTGCCAAATGTTTTAAAAGGAACGTACAACTAGACCTGTTTGTTAACTTTACTTGAGAAAATCTTTGTCCTTGACTGTAGTTGTATTATGTTTTTATACAAACCGCTTTAAATGAGTGATTGTCATATGGATATGTTATGAGTTATGGTAACGCCAGTCGTAGATTTTCAGTTGGAACTAAACTTGCGTCGTTCGGGCTGGACCTAACGGGAGATCGAGATGTACCTAACTGAGAAGTTTTCGTCATAGAGCTATAATTCTTATGTACCTTGGTATGAAAAGTAGAAGAAGTTCTTAACTAAATGTCCCTTTAAATCTATGACACTTTTTTAGTATTAATTATAGCTCCTGAGGTATATCTGGATGGCCTAAAGCAAGAGAAAGAACAGGGGTTTGAATTCAGTAAGAGTCTGACACTGTTCCTTGCCTCACCCTGGACGAGAAAAGTTGTTTGATGATTTTTCCTCCACAAAAAAATCATAATCACTTATCTGGATGTTACTAGACTGTATGAGAAGCGATGTAATATGAAGTTGACACTAAATCGTAAAGAGTGCCTCGAATATAATGAAATGCATGATTACTATTAGGTTATGAAGTCAACGTTAATAACATAAAATGGAGGTACTATTTACGATGTTCGATCTAAAATACAAGTCCTGTATCATAAGCTAGACAGACGGCTGGGTGATCTAGGTTCACTTGATAAAAAAGAGATTTTTCGGAAAGCCTTTCTTTAATCCGACATTAATGTTAGAACTTTACATATTGTAAGTAACATAAAATTTATTTGAAGTGGATAGTATAAGGATAATAAAGTTTATAAACAATAATACTTAAACCGAATTGAAATTAAAGCCTCATAATCAATTAAAACCAGAATTTAAAGTTAATCTTGGCTTTGGTAACTTGTTATAATTAAGTGGATACGATAAAACATTTATCAAAGTAAATAACTTATTACGCTTTGTAACAATCCTGAGAACTGATTAACTAACGATATAAAACTTGTAATACTAAAAAAAAACTATGGCTGCTAATTATAAATTTCCTTCATGTTAGGAGTTACCTTCATGTTATAAATATAATATACTTACAAACACCTGTATAATCCACATAAAGTAGATTGTTACTTGTGTAGCGACATCTAGCGCACTTCATTAACAACAGCACCAATCACGAACAAGAGTCTACATCGCGCTATAGCGCTATAAGAGTTTTCAACACAATTAGCACCCATACAGATATCCCGACAACAACCGTCGGGCAGTAGCCCACCAGGCATGAACACCTCGCCTGGTCGGAGGATCCTCCCTTTTCAATGGAGGATGAGGAAGTTTCCATCCTGTTCCTCATACCTCTAAACTGTTGACCCCGAGCATGAACATCAAGCAGCCTTCGTTCAACTACTTCATAGCCATGACATCATCACTTCCTCGAGCTTTCAAGCAGCGAGTCTACTGTCAGCCAGCTTCCACGGCTACAACGGGTTCCCTGACCACCAGCATGCAGCCGACGCGCATTCCTGGTCAGCACCTACAGCCTCATCAGCAACTTCGGCACAGCATACTGCACCGGCCGGTCAGCAAGCAGAGACGTACTCCCTCTCCTGGTCGACGCAGCAGCCAGCCACTCCTCAGCACTGCATCACCCCGACTCACTGGGGCATCCCCGCAGACAGTTCCGACTCACCGTGAACTATGCGGCATCAGTTCCGACGCACTGGAACCATCAACTGGCTCGACAAGACAAGACATTCAGACGACTCAACCTGCTAACGACCTCCGGTCTCGGAGGGGAGTGGTGTAGCGACATCTAGCGCACTTCATTAACAACAGCACCAATCACGAGCAAGAGTCTACATCGCGCTATAGCGCTATAAGAGTTTTCAACACAATTAGCACCCATACAGATATCCCGACAACAACCGTCGGGCAGTAGCCCACCAGGCATGAACACCTCGCCTGGTCGGAGGATCCTCCCTTTTCAATGGAGGATGAGGAAGTTTCCATCCTGTTCCTCATACCTCTAAACTTGTATCACAACTTCTATTTTTATAGCATATTCAAAATAATGTTCAAAGTATATTATTTGATGTGATGTCGTTAGACTTGTTGGTCTGGTCGAGTCGACGAAGAAGTATCTGGTCTCTTCCTCGAAATCAAGGTGGAACTTTGCCAAGCATTTTCGACGTTTGACTTTCAAGTTGGAACGGATACTATGCTCAAGCGGCTCCCTGCAGCAGATTGTATGTGATGATCTTGCTATCTGGCACTCTACGGGGTCGTCAAATTGAGGCGGCGGCAGGGATTTTTTTATTGAGGGGAAAAATCATCAAATGATTTCTCCCGCCCAGGGTCGGGAGGGAGGGAGTGTCAGACTCTTACTGACTAAAAACCCCTTCGTTCCTTCTCCTGCTCTGGACTGAGGTCGCGGTGCCTCATTGCGCTTATCCCTCGTAACCTCGGCTCAAGTATGAAACTATACCGTGTCATGTCATGTCGTCTATAGCTTACAGAGAGAATTTATACACCTACAATTTACATACGCTTAACTAGTAATTCAATTATTGACCATTAAGTCACGAAAGCAATTAATAATATTGTATTGCTGTAAAAATAAGCAAATTAAACAATCGTTCGGCATTTGCTTGCCAACCTTCAATCAGGCAACCTCTTTGTTTGAATTCTGAAGTTGGAAATAATAAATTGAAGGTTAAAAGCGGAGGAAATTCAAAAACCGGATTAATGTAGATCTACTGGATACTTTTTGAATCCTACTCGTAAATGAAAATGACAACTATTTCGTTATGCCTGAATTGAAGTAAAGCTAAAAATTTAATAATCATGAACAATGTTTTTCAAATGGTAAAGTGACTGAATGTGTGTTATGGTTTTACAATTTTACCCTTGTCAATTTCTATAGACCGTGATGCTGGTTTTTACTTTAGCTACAGTTAGTAGATGTCGTTAGTTATGCTTATTGACTAATTAATATAAATACGACTGTAATATTTCCTAGAGTACCTAGTTAATGGTTCGTACCTAGTTTTTACGGTATTTCGGATGGAGTGAATTTAGCATATTTATCCTAATGAATGACGTTTCTTCTGTTGCCTATAAAAAAATAGGATAGGTACTTTTGAATCGTGGCATTACAGATATGCCATTTCTATCCCATGACTTATTGTCGTGTGTTAACTGTGAAAATGACTACTAGTTTCAAGTCACAACGGAATTCTCTTAATCAAGAGCAGCGTGCGCGTCGCGGCAGAGCATCGTGCAGTGGGCTTATGTATATCGTTATTTTCAATTAGTTATTCTAACAGAAAGTCTCGAGATATTGATACGTCCTATTTAAAAAAAAATTGGAAGGTTCTCAAAATTATTGTCTAAAATTACAAAAATGGCTGAATCATATTTAAAAGTCAAGACTTAAAAACACCGTAATTATAATGCATCTTTAGGTACGCATACGTACTGCGTATGCATATGTATAGATGCGTTGTTTTTAAGTCTTGACTTTTAAATATAATTCAGCCACTTTTGTAATTTTTTTAGACAATAATTTTGAGAAGATTCCAATTTTTTTTAAATCACATCTCACAGCTCTTTTAATTAAAATCTTAGTTATTGTTGCAAATAATGATCTCATCTTAATTTTTTTTTTTTTGCGAATAAGATTTTCCTACAGTTTTATCACCTTCAAATTGTTAAACTGGTTAGGCAAATTATGTTGAGGTATCGCATTATATTAGAGATATCGTCATTCAACCTTCATCAGAGTTGTCAATTAGTGGCATAAGAATCATTTCCACGTTATCCACGTGTGTTGCGAGGTTAAGAGCGATAATTAATTACTGTTATTGAGTTTCAATCATTAATTTATTTCTGCTTTAAATAGACACTCACAATTTGCAGAATTGATATAGGTACCTAGGTGTTTACCTAAGTGTGACCTAGCGAATTATGTACAAATCTGAGGTATCATAGTGAGGTTGAACATAATTTTTCAAAGATCGCGGGCTGTTATATTGTTATTTTTCCGCGAAGTAGGTGGATAGGTGACCTTTCTAATGTTTTTTATTGTATAAGTATTATGACTTTTTACTCAATTTTACTAAGGCTATGTAGGTAATACACAGAATCCTATTTTTTCCAAATTTAATTCAAATGCAACTGGTCGCTTCCGTAATTAAAGAAATAAGGAAATATATTACTTAAAAGCATTGTTAAGTAACAGATTTAGTGATACCGTGAGACTAGAGTCGTGAATTCTTTATCTAAATTAGTTATTTTTGTTAAATAGTCTATTGTAGTGTTCACACATAAGTTATACATAGATACTTATCAAAATATATTTTGTGAAGAACAAAAATAATATATTTTTTATTCAAATATAGAAAAACCGAGAAACAGAGAAAAAAATAATACAAACATGCTCTTTTCAAAAAAGTGGCTTGAGCTATTTGTATTATTATTTTTTTCAAATTATGTACTAGTTGCCGAGGCACTTTAGTCTAAGCCCAAACTAGCGATTTAATATCAACAATTCAACACACGTTCACGTGTGTTGATAAAAGAATGGCACAAAAAAAATATATTAACATAAAAACTATTTTAAAACATAATCAGGTTTGTATGATTAGTATCCAAACCATAAAAAGGAGGTCGTTTCCTTCATTGATATTCCGACCATGTAGGTAGTAAACGTTAGCTAAAAGTTTCTGTTGAGTATTACCATTAAATACACATGGGGTACAACAAATAAGACTTACAGACCCGAATGTGTCCGTTGATATGCGCTGCGTACCAGAATCAACAATAAAATTCTTCTAATTCCTACAGGGATTACTCACGCGATGTGTGACCGTGCGTTAAATGGGAGCCCCGGCGAAGGCTTAAAAGTCGAGCTAGTCACGAATTTCACGTGATTAAGTAAGCTATGGTTTCCACGGGTAGTTTGTACTATAGCCAGCAGTACCTAAATTTATTTTTGATACGTAAATGTGTTTTACTTATGTCAAATTACCACTTATACATAACAATTAAACTTAACTTCCTCCCTATTATGTTCAATTTTATAATAGCTCTATGACGTCGTTTTATATTATTGTTATTAACAGTCACATAAAAATCCTCTATCTTAGATGCTAGATAGCGTAAAAAACAACATTAAGTTGTTTCTGTATGAGTAGGTTATTGAAGTAATCCAACCTTACTAACTGGTCTAACTGCTGTGTTATTATTATGTAGACACTAGATACCGTCAATTATTCAGTGGATGAAGGTAACTAAGTTGACACAAACTTTATACGAATACTAGATCAAGATTTTAACCTTCAAAGTTAAGTCCATGGCTATACTTATACA